TTGTTAAAAAATTGAGTGAACTTCAGATTTAAATAAAAAATATGCAATCGGAGAGAGAGAGTTTTAGATTCCATTGAACGCTCTACGACCTTACAGATTTGAGAACAATTAAGGGATACAAATAATTATACACATATTTCTGTATTTCATTCCGTGAAATATTAAAAACATTGCATTGCTATTAAATTCTTATTAGTATTACAACCACACTCCCACACAAACAGCTTGAATAGTGAGATGTCTGAGACAAGGGCTGAAGCGCCTTCCTAAGTGGCTGATGCGTCCGTCTACGAATTGGGGGCCATAACTCGTCGAGGCAAATGATAGTTGACCACAACTTTTAATGTCTCAATGTCTGTGGCAATGCATGGCTCATTAGTTCTTGCCTAATTTGAAATGCAGCCCCCACCAACCAGACCGAGCCTCGCTCGTACCTAATGGAATTCAATCAATTTTCATTTATTTCGATTACGAATCTCGCACCACCAAGATGCGAACCGCAAACCCAACCACCGAGCTTGAGGCGAACTCATGTTTTAATAGACGAGCAGCCGAATGGCAATGTTGACCGTCAACTTCTCCCAATTTGTTTTGTTCTGGGAAGGACACATTAAAGCGAAGTCAGGCAAATGGACGCCGAAAAATGTCTTAATTATTCCGCCATTTGAGTGCCAAGGAGGGGAAATACTTGTATTCTGATCAAAGCAAGACAAATGAGCAGAGTTACAAAAAAGTGGGCGACGAATACCAAGAAGTGTAACAAGTCTGTGTGAACTTTAAACGGGGAATCATTTTTTATTTTCAAATTGAAAAATGCACGGACGACTGAATGCTGCCGATAATGATAATGATGTTGAAGACAATATGCCAACGAAATGGAAATCCTTTACATTTTCAGAGGCAGAGAGAGAGAGAGCTGCGCGTATAATCTGCTTATCAAAGGACTGCACAGACACAACTTGGCGCTTGGAGCTGACAGCAAAAAAAAAAAAAAATGGAATATGTAAACAAAAGCAGTAAAAATTTGATTTGCATTTTGTTGCGCATAACAAAAATTAGCTTACATTTTTCGTTTCATGTTGTTGGTAAAAGAAAAGGGTTGAAAATATTATAAACCAGAGGACCGTTCCCCAAAAGAAAAAAACGAATGCAAGCTCGACTTGCTTTCAATACCGAATCGGAGTGCAATAGTTTTCGCTTTCAAAATTTATTTCGAATCGATTTTATTGCCAAATGGGAGTGCAATAGTTTCACTTTCAGAATAGATTTCGAATCGATTTTATTGCCAATAGATAGCCGCGGCCTTAGTCTTTTAAATGGACCCAAGATAAAGTAATTTCTTTAATTATATATTTGGAAAACTTTTAAAAGATGGGTGCATTTTGAAAATTGAAAAAGCTTCCTGGAACTTTTGAATTGCTCTCGTTTTGTTCAACATTAAATTTTGAAAATGTATAAAGCTAATAAAATAAATAAATAATTTCCATTTCTGTTTTTACACGTTTTTTCTTTAACGATTTTGATATAACACGTTCTGAAAATTAAAAATTTCATATATATTTCTTTAGAGCTAAGGAGCCAAACGCCTAATAATGAGAAAGTCGAAATACTTTTCAACCCTCAACCCCAAATGGAAACTTTTTGAAACGGTCTCATTGAACTGCTTTTCGAATTCCGAAACAATTAGCCATTTCGATCCCAAGAATATTCAATTCAATTCCAATCTAAAAAGAGCAGCAGATGTGCTAGACTAGACTTGTTTTACTTAAATGACCTAAAAAGCTATTCTCTGGCTAACAAAAGGATTTCAGCTTACGCCTTCCGCTTGCTGCGAGCAATATCGACTGAAAACAAAACATCTGCTACAATGCAAATTATTATGTAACACAATAACGATATCTCAAAATATATATCGCACACCAGGACCTGACCACCAAGTTCATTAAAAAGCGCAACGAAATTGAATGCAAAAATGCAAACAGACAGACAGACAAATAAATAAATAAACAGAGGCTGGCTGGCAGGCAGGAAGCAACCAACAACAACAACAATAGCAGTGCAACATGCAGAAATCTGTATAAAGAATCTGCCCACAACAAACTGAATACTTACATACAAATATATATATATGTATATATATATAGGTATGCATATATATTCATGTATAAGTCGAGACGCGAAACTTTTGTGCCTCAATTATAATGAGAAAAGCAAACGAATTGGAAATAATTTTCAATTCACTTGTTTCCACCTACTTTCGTTGCTTTTGACGGCGATTTTGCAGATATCTACAAACATACAAGTATACCTGCACGTTGCACGAAATACGCTGCCTTTGCTTTATTTTATTGTGTTTTGCTTTTTGTTTCCATTACTTATTTATACTTATGTAGTGCGTATTTCATCTGAAATTTGCGGCGCACCCTTTCCTCTGGCCCTTAGGCGCGAAGAACGCCGCTGATTTGGTTTAAGCCAAAAGCAGCGCTGGTAAAAGGCTGGCCCAAATGGTGGGTACGAGTACCAGTTAAACAGAGGGGGTTTTATGCAATTGACAAAGCTGTTGTTTATTTGCAGGTGTGCCCAAGCAAATAAACATTATTTATGCAACTCGAGAAGTGCTTTCAAAACATGGTTCAAAATATGAATAATTCCTTCAACAATACATGAAATAACTTCACCCAAAAACATTTATCAAACTATTGCATTCCCTAAATCTACAAACCTTTATCACCAAAAAGCTGTTAACTACAGCAGCAGCAGCCAAAGCTAACAGCTGTAAACGGTCTGTTAGTTAACAGAGCGCTGCACGCGCCGCAGCCTCTCTCCCTAATATTCTAACTAGCATTTAAGCGCTTTAGTGGGAATTTGCAAAGTAGTATAAATAGAAGAATTAACGTGAATAAATAAAAAAAAACAAAAAAAAGTGCTAGTTTTTCCCCTACACTGCCATTTTGGAAAGATTTGCCCAAAAGCCGACGCCCAATACAATAATAAAAAAATAAACAAATTTTAAAAGAAAAACAATAATAAAACAAAGAAAAACAAAAATAAATAAAAAAAAATAATAATAAATAAATAAATAAATAGACAAATAAATGTAATTTTGTACTAATCAAGCTGTTAATGAATGTAAATAATCATAATCAGAATCCGAAGCTTAAGGCCTCAGTAGCTAAAAGTATAGCTTATTCTATAAGCTGCTTGCAATTTGTAATTGCAAGTGGAATTCTAATAATATCAATGAATAATTCTACCTCTAATGGTTACACGTGCCCTAAACTTTAGAAAAACTCCTATAACTACACTTTAAAAGAATTACTCAACTTTCTAAAAGAATTACTCAACTTTCTTGTGCGGAAGAAAATTATTGTTTTTATTAAAAATATTCATCTTCTTCTGTAAAAATATAATAATTTCATAATATATGTCATATAAATGAAATAAATTAATTGTCAAGTTTATTTAACCAATTTAATGGCTGTCCACGATGGACAGTTTTAAATAAAAAATGATCTGGTAACAAAAACAAAAAGTTTCTGAAGAACAACAAGCCTAAACAAATCAAAATCAAGATAAAAACGCTTGGGACTCTTTCTAGGAACTCTTTCTCAGCAGCTGATTTTGATCAAAAAACTGTAACCCCTAAGAAAATTTTCACTTAGAAGGAGTCTATGTTGAAAATAAAAATATACAAAATTCTTAAAAACTGTTTTTTCATTGTCAGGATAGAAACATTTTGGAGTGTGCTCGTATTTGTGTTATTTTACAAATTGATCTTATCTTTATCCCTAATCTTAATATTATAATTTCATATTTAGTTCCCTTTACTTTTAAAAGTAACTTTAAACTATTTTCTAATATTTTTTGTAGAGCTTGTATCAAGATTTAAAATCCTTAAAAATCTATAATATAATCTAAAAATAATTAAATTGTTTAGCAACTACTATATATACTTGTAAATAAGAGGTGACACAGCAAGACACAGTTTTTCAATTTAAACAAAATATAATTTACAAAAACAAAAATAAATGATAAAAATTAAAAAATCAACTAATGTACTAAATACTGCAAAAATAAAAGACAATATTTCAGTCTGTGTATTAAATTTTGTGATTCAAGATTAATTCTAAGCTACAAATTAAAAAAAAATAAATATATAAATAAAATACAATATTTATACTTATTAGTGTTAGCTGCCACAAGACGAAATCGGCCAGTCAGAAAATTAAGACATATATCAAAACAGTAGCAGTTCAAAAGTTGAGTGTTTGGAGTATTTGTTAGGTTTATTGTGTTTTTAAAAACACCTATATATGGTGATGGATATAGTTTTAAAAAAATGATAAAAATATAAAATAAATAAATAAATAAAATACAATATTTATACTTATTAGTGTTAGCTGCCACAAGACGAAATCGGCCAGTCAGAAAGTTAAGACATATATCAAAACAGTAGCAGTTCAAAAGTTGAGTGTTTGGAGTATTTGTTAGGTTTATTGTGTTTTTAAAAACACCTGTATATGGTGATGGATATAGTTAAAAAAAAATGATAAAAATATAAAATAAATAAATAAATAAAATACAATATTTATACTTATTAGTGTTAGCTGCCACAAGACGAAATCGGCCAGTCAGAAAATTAAGACATATATCAAAACAGTAGCAGTTCAAAAGTTGAGTGTTTGGAGTATTTGTTAGGTTTATTGTGTTTTTAAAAACACCTGTATATGGTGATGGATATAGTTAAAAAAAAAATTATAAAAACATAAAATAAATAAATAAATAAAATACAATATTTATACTTATTAGTGTTAGCTGCCACAAGACGAAATCGGCCAGTCAGAAAGTTAAGACATATATCAAAACAGTAGCAGTTCAAAAGTTGAGTGTTTGGAGTATTTGTTAAGTTTATTGTGTTTTTAAAAACACCTGTATATGGTGATGGATATAGTTAAAAAAAAAAAAAAAAATTAAAAATATTGCCACAATGGCGGATGATATTACAGATCCGCAAAGCTCACGCGGGGTCTCTTGAGAAAGTTCCCAATGAAGTCAAGGTTTTGGTTTGGCTGCTTGAGTATAGGCCTAGGTGCCGATTCGGACGATATCTCCAAGCGACGTTTGTAGGGCGGCGGGGAACCCCCCATGGGGCGTTGAGGCGACTGCACCAGCTGAATCGGATGCGTGGCATGAATCGATTGTGATTGTGGTTGTAGTTGGGGTTTGGGTTGGGGATGCGGCATTGGCATCGGCATCGACATCGGCTGTTTGCGCTGCGATCGCAAATCGCCGTCTACGGGCGGCTTTATTCTGCGCTCGACGAACTTCACGCAGAGAGGACGGTCGGAGCCCGGCGGTGTATAGTTATTGAGAACTTCCCTTGCCATTTCGGCGGACATATGCTGATCGAAACGGACGAAGGCGATGCCGCGCGACTGGCCAGTGTATTTGTTGCGCAAGATATTGATTTCCAAGATTTTGCCGTAGCACTTGAACATGTTGCCCAATATTTTTTCGGTAAAGTGGGGCGGCAGATACGATACATAGAGGTTGGCGTTCTTGATCGCCTCCGACTGGGGACGTGCAAAGGAGACCTTCAAGCGCTTGCCACGCACTTCGCGCCCATCCACGCAGAGCTGAGCGAAGGCCGCGGGCTTGGGTTCGACGAAGTCGACAAAGCCGTAGCCAAAGCTATATCCAGTGCGTAGATCACGTATTATCTTTAGTCGGCGTATGCTGCCAAACTTGGCGAACAGATCGTACAATTCCCGCTCCAGCATATCCTGCGGCAGGTAATTGACAATCAGATTGGTCCTGCCATCAACCGGACCCTGTTCACTCTTGGGGACTTGGAATTGGGCTTGGGTTGCGACTGGGACTGGGTTTTGATTCGACTTGTGAATCAACGGTGCTGCTGTCGATCGCGTTGCTATCGGTGCCTTGAACTGTTGAATAAGCGCTGCAAATCCAAATTCTTCTTCCCCGCTCTGCTGCGTTCTCTCAGCGAATTCAGGCACTATGCTCTTCCTTAACTTTTCCATGATAACTCCTCTAGTGCTGTACTTTGTTAATGGTTTTCGAAAAAAAAAGGACGCTGCGGTGGGAAATAAAAAACGATGGATGGCCATGTTGTCGTGTTAAATTAAATATGTAATAACAATTTTAGAAAACATACTAAACTTTTAAAAAATCAAGACTCAACAACAACGCCAAACAAAGTAGCAACCAAAACCGTGTTCCTACACCAAATAGTTGGTTAACATGAATTAAAGGAAGATGAAGTATCGTTCTATAATTTCTTAAAGGATAATGAAAAAGTTAATGGATATGTTTTTCTGAAGAAACTGAAAATGTTTATGGCAAGAACTTCTGACGGCCAACCGCTTGTGTGGAAAATAAGTTAACATCATTGACTAAATGGTTAAATTGTGTTTAGTAGCTGCGTGTTATTTTAGTATGTGTTAAAAATTAGCTAATTATGTTCAAGTCTAGATTTACACGAGGGCTTAAAGTAAGAGTTTTATGAAAATCGAAATCATTAATAAAGGCAACTAATTAGAAAAAATGTTTTTCAACAAGTTCTGGCCTGCGTAATCATTCATTTAATAAATAAATAACTTTTATTAATAAATTACTGAAAGCCAAAAATATGCTAAACAAGCTGCGATGGACAGTAATCGATTAAGACCGACTGACATAAGAAGTATTTAATAGAAATAAAAGAACACAAATATTGAAAAATTAGATTCTTAAACACCTATTACCAGCGCTTGTTCCTACAATTATAACAGCTATATGGTTTAGTGTACAAAATTTTAATGAAACCTTCAGGAAAAATTACTTTAAATACTCAAATTTTATGAAAAATTATTGTTACTAAGAAGAATCGTTGCTATGACAGGTTTAGGATACCTCAGATAATAATTGCCAAATTTGGCGAAACTATCATACCTCAGATAATAATTGCCAAATTTGGCGAAACTATCATAATACGCAAAAAGTCGGTCCTATGACAGCTTTATAAAATAATGAAGCTCTACAATGATTTTAATTAACTTGATCTGCACATGGTTAAGGTAAGTCTACATAACAAGTTTGGTGTCTCTGGCTGTTATGGTTCAAAAGTTCTCGAAGTTCATACAGACAGACAAATTTGAAGAATGTCTACATCGGATACATGACATATCATGTAATCGAGAAAGGAGAATGAAAACTGGAAAAAGCCTAAAAAAAGATTCTCTTCAAAAAAAAAAAAAACAGCTCGTGTAAATGCAGACTAAGTGTACTCTTCCATGCAAATTAGTAAATCTTGAAAATGAATAATAAACTGAAAATACGTATTTCTTCTTGCTTTATTTTTTTCAAGTACATATTCCAAGTCGGCAATGCTATGTAAGAACACGAGCACTCATAACACTTTCAACATAATACCCGAACGTTTTTCAACACTAGCAAAAGAATAAAAGCCACAAAAAATATATGTTAAAAAAAGAAGCCAAGAACACGAGTTTTTTCATGTAGCCTGAACTGCGTCTTTTGCAGCTTTGCAAAATCTTATGTATTTATAAAATTTCATGCGATTTTGTTTAAATAATTGAAGTATTGTAAAGAATTGTGGCGTCTGCCAAAACAAAATGCACAGAGAAGTCTCAGAAAATGAAGAGAAAGAAAGAATTTGACACGAAACGTGCCCAAGATGTCAAAAATTTTCACGCCGCCACTATATGATTGAATATGCAAATGTTGCGTACTCCTTAAGACTTACCAATGCTTTGCAATTAGCAGAAAAGTTTACTTTCTCAGGTTTTCACAAAAAGAAAACTCCGATTTAATCACTTGGTTGCCAATTTCATTAAAAACTTCTCCAAAGCTTCGCGAGCGTCCGCTACCGAGCAGTGCAGAAAAGTAAAAGACCTTGTGCTGTTAATAGTGATGGTACTTTGACGATAACGCGATAGTTATTGCAAGTCGAGAGACTACTTACACGATATTTGTGCTCTTTGAATCACAGTCACGAGCTTCAAGTAACACTTAAAAGTAATGACAATAATATAGTTATTTAAAAACTTATGTTATTGCAACATAAATAAAGTGTATTATAATAGAGTAATAATAATAACTATCATCATTTTATGCGATACAAAATGGCTTTTAAGAAAGCTCGATGGCTTTTAGGTTGTGCGATAGATATTGCATCGATATATTCATTTGAAACAAGGAAACAACACAGCAACTAGGGATGTAAGAAACATCGCTGTATCGAGCATCGACGTTTTCCGATGGTTTTTTGCATCGATGTTTGTCCAAACATCGATCATTATTCATGTTTTGTTGGGCGATCACATTTCTCTGTGTGGCTTTCCGAAGAAGGTGTATTTGTATTATAAATTATTTGATGTTTTCATTAAAATGTGTATTTTGTAATATACATTTTAGTTTGTATTTGATATTCTTTTTTTTCGTCACACTTAATATGCTTAGAAGCCGTAGCTGCAACGCGCTGTTGTTTTAAAAACTGTATATAATCAGTTTTTTTAAGTAATTACCAAAAGTCAACACTACGAATACTTTATTGATTACTAACATTACGTAAAATACTATGACAATCTCTATTGATATATAAACATTTTTTATTTTAAACATCTCTGTCGATTTTCTCCCTAATATTAGCTTTTTCTTCTATGGAAAGTTATTTTTTTAAAACATCTAGGCAACGATGTTTTTTTGCGATGCATCGACTATGCATCGATGTACAGCAACATCGATGTTTTCCCTTCGACTTACATCCCTAACAGCAACCGAACGTTTTTTTTTTTTGGAAGGCAAAAAATGCATTTAATGGAAGAAAAGCGATGGTGTCGACCGAGTTTTCCAGCAATAAGTACCAGCACTTTCATGAGAAGCTATTCTCAAAATGGCAACAAATCATCGAACTAAATGGAACGCATTTAAACTAAATCGGACTAAGCAATTCTGATTTGAAAAATTGCAGAAAATTGATTTGTTTCCAATGTTTGATAAATACTTTCTAAATTTTCTTCATATTTTCTCATCAGTTATTGAAAACAGCAATGGGATGGAGGAATAGGATACAAAATATTATGCCTTTTTTAAATGCCGCCCCCAGCTGTCGATTTTGAAAAAACTTTAAGGACACATAACTGCAAGGATGGCAGGTGCAAGGCTGCTTAGCTGCTGTTCAGCTGTTTGTTTGTCATCTTATTTACAGCTACAACTTTTGCATTGTTAAAATTGTGATATTCACTCGAAATATGCCGGCGAATGGACCGCATTAATTGGAAGGGCAGCTGCAAAATGAAACAGAAACACAAACAAAAACAAAAAATTACTGCTAATGTGCGTGTTGCAAGAACACGCGCGTTTTGCATTTGTTTTCTTATTTTTCTCTCTTCTATTAATTAATTTCCGTTTCCGTTTTGTTATCTTGCGCACGCCGATTTTTACCTTAATGCTGACTAAACAATTAATCAAGTTTAATTACGATAGTCCGCGCCGCAAACAGAAGAAAAAAGAAACACTCCCAAGTGCCTCAAATTGTGCCTCAAGTTCGGTCGCATTAATCACTTGCATATGTATTATTCCTATATACATTTTTCACGGCCATTTAGCTGCATAATGTGTGGCACACTGCCCTCACTGTGGATAAGATTAGACGTGCAACACCTTTTTAAATTTAAATATCTGGCCAATGAAAATAAAATTAACGAGGCATTAAATAAACGACACAAGCAAACGTTTCAAATTAGTAGAGAGAGTAAGGGAGAGGGGGGGGGGCTATTTTATATAAAATTTAAGTTCATGCAAGAAGTCGTATAATTTACAAAACAAATTTTTATTTTTATTTAAATAGAATACTATATTTTTTAAAAATTCAAAATTTTACTAAAACTCGAAGACTGCTCACAACCATGCCTGGCTACAAAAGCTCACTGCTACGTCATTGCGACAGCTTTAGTGCGTTCACAACCAAAGTTAGCAAAGACACACACCTTAAATGTGAAAAGAAGGGAAAAGTAACGTCTGCATCCAAATGTTGCGGAACTTGAAGGGAATTAATTTATTTTGCAGGATTCCTGCAATTATATTAATTATTTATAGCTTAAGATCCTGGTAGTCATAGCTATTCAAACCCTGTTAGCTGTAAGTTTCTAACTTTAGGCTAGCATTAAATAAATAAACAAAAACACTAATTTTTTATGTACATCCTTCGTCAAAGAGTTTAAAGTAAAGAAAAACCTAAAGGTGAAGTTTTACTTTATTTTTAAGCAATTTGCAAAAAATATTTAGACCACATTTATAATGTAGCCTAGTAGGTGTTTTTCGCCATGTTGCTAAGTATAATTATTTTCTCATTTATTTACTTTATTTAGACCACATTAATAATGTAGCCCAGTAGGTGTTTTTCGCCATATTAAACTAATTTTTTCGCTTATTTACTTTTTAATTCAGTTCATGTGTGCATAAATTTCTGTGCTTATATTTTTTTTAAGCAATTACTTTACCATAATTAAGAAATTCTTCAACATTTATTTCAAGCAAACATTTAACTGCTGCATAAATTTATTTACTCCTTTTCCTTTCCTTCAAGTAACAAATGTTATTCCCCTAGTCTTCTCATATTTTCGAAAAAAACCAAACGCTAACGTGTTCATTCAACATCTCAGCCCTTATCGAACTGCCAGCCTTTGAAGAAGGCGCAAAAGCAACAAATACTAACGTTGTTGTTGTTGTTGTTGTTGTTCGATCTGCGCGCAAAGTAATAAAACGAGTTGCTGCGGCTTGCTAGTGAATGGTGTCCACACATTCATGAGAGAGCGAGAGAAAGAGAGACAAGGCAGGCTGTGAGTGTGTGGGTGGCAGCTAACACTGACTATGACCTCAAACCACCCACAAAAAGTTTGTACCTGGCAAAAGAGCACGACGGAGCGAGAGAGAGGGCCAGCGCGAGAGCATAAGCAATGCAATGCTAACAATATTGTTGTTGTTGTAATTGCAGTTTAGACTCTGGAAGTGTTGTTGCTGGATGTTGATGGATGCGCCGCAAAAGGTGCGCTTACAATTTTCTCCACTTTCTTCAAGAAATACGTATGTGAGAAATCAAAAAGATGCGCCCATTCGTTTTTTTAGTGTATGTGTATTTATGTGTGTGTGTGTGTGTATTTGTGAGTCAAAGAGTTCAAAATATTTGAAATGCTACCCAAATAGATAAAATCAATCTATTAGAATGCAGATAAGCCCGGACAATTGCAGTTCTTTGATACGTCTTGCGACGTACGACCAAAATAAGTAACAGATGGGGGCAAATGATGGGGACTGATGTAAACTTATGGCATCTGGCGTAGCGCCGACGTCATCGCCGACGTCGGAATTCAATTGATGGTGCACTGTGAGAAGAAACGTAGACTTTGAAATTCAACTTTTATAAAAATAATAATAAACTTCCTAAAAAAACCAAACTATACAACAAAATTTAAGGCCAATACGTATAAACACCTGTCAATATTTTAGATGTAAATAATGTAAAGAGTACAATTAGTTAATATATTATAATATTAACTAATAATATTAATTGCAAGTAAAACGAAAACAACAAACCTGTTAGCCTATAGTTTTAACTTTAAGCTAGCCCATAAATTAATAAATAAAATTCAACTTTTATAAACGGCTTTATGTGGCGATTTGTTTTTTCTGTATATTTCAGATTTCAAATCTCAAATAGGGCGTCTACAGCGATTGGATTGAAAAATTGCATAAAATATTTAAAATTCGTATATTGCATAAGTTATTTAAAATCCTTTTCAAATTTGCGCACAAAATTTACAGTATTCTGCTCCTTAGTGAAAAATAAGTACAACTTGTGAAATTGTTTTTGGAGTTCAAGCCAAAATACTGTATAGTTTTTATATATCTAAGAATAAATTTGATTTTATTTTTGCAACAAATGAAAAATAATATATATCTTTGTAAAGCAAAAAAATGAACAAATTCCAAACAGTTCTATATTAATACTATTCTCAACCTTGTTTGTGGAACTGAGCTGAAACGGCGAAGAAAATAGATAGATTTATATAAAGTATAAATAATTAAATAAAACTAAACTCCTAGCTTAAGCTGTATTTGTATTTTTCTATAACTTTAATTTAAGTTATTGTAAATAGTAACATTATAAAGTTTTACATTTAAAAACAAAGAGGAACATGTAAAGTTTTCCAAACACTTATTCCCTGATTTTTAAGTTTTTACAATTTTTGCGGCCAAACTTTAAAGTTAAGCCTAAAAAAATCCCTTTTTAGAATGTGAAAAATATCTGATTATTTATTAAGAAACTGTTTCGCATACGAAAGAGTTATTTTCTCTAATTTCATAATCAAATAATTCTTTGAGTGTAGAGTTAAGTAGAAGCGGCAACGTGTGTAGCTGCAGCCACATACATCCACACACAAATACATATATATGTATGTATGTAGTATATGTACACACATGGACACATACACATATGTACATACATATATTCAATTACCGTATGTTGCATTCAGTTGGCAACGACGAGGCGAAGAGACAATCTCTAAATTGAAATTTTCAAGAAGTTTGTTTACAATTTACAACAAATGAACGCCATTCCAGTGAGAGAGAACTTGGCTTGCTCTCGCGATCGCCAAAGCCGTCGGTGTTTAGTTGATTGCTTGTTTTGATTAGCTTCTTGACCATGTACATGTGTGAGTGGAAGTCTGTGTAGTTTTGTGGGGGGATGACATCACCGTGCCAGTCACAAAGTCCGCTGTATTCGCTGTACTCGTATCCGCTCTCAGCCATTTAGTTTCAGTTTCTCTCCAACACCTTGGCAAAACGTGGCGCAAGCGAGCCAACCAGACTGCGTGTGTGTTACTCTCAAGCACAGTGGGCTTCGATCATACTGGTCCTTGCCGGTGGAGAAATGTTTTATTTGCGTAACTTATAGAATAACAAAGTAACAATTTATTTATGGGCAGACTTTCAGTAATTTCAGTAAATTATTTATGTTTACATTTTACAATTTGAAAAGATTTAAAAATAATAATTGCCATCTGTTATCTATATTTTTATTCTACGATAAATTCTTTGTAAAATGAAGTTTCCTTCTTAAATTTGTGTAGACAAATATTTTATAAATAAACCCAAAGATATATAAAAACGCTTCATTTTAAACTTATTAAGATCAACATTAAGGGCTTGACCTGCGCATTAATTTAGTTTAAGAATAAAAAAAAATTAATTAAATAACTATATTAGATTAAGATTTGACTACTTATCGTAAGTCTCCGAGAGAGAAGATTCAATAAATAAAGAAAACTATAAAAAACATGAATGACTTTCCTTTAGAATATGAAATGAATTGAATTCACTAAGTAAACGTATAATACTACATCCGATCATTGACCAAAATATATCCAATAATTAGTAGTTTCTAAATTTATTCATTATTCACTTTCATTATACTATGAGTCGCATTCCCCTAATTATAACTGTTAGTTTTACGTAATATTTATTAATTCAAAGTATATAAACTAAAAAATAATATACCAATGCTATCGAAAAATGTATTTAATTGGCGAATTTTCCAGTTGCTTGTGTCAGCATTAGAATTTGTTTTTAATATTCTCCTATTTTTTAATTGTCTATATTATATTTTTAATGATTTTTCCCTTAGTTTATATATTTATTAAATTATTCATTTAGAAAATCAACAATTTGTGCTGTAGATACGTATACGAAAACTATGACTTATATTATCATATAATATTATAAAATAAAATAAAGATAATTAATAACACAACGTTATAATTTTAACTTAAAAGGTAAGAAATCCTAAGAAAAAACTATACAATTAATCATCAAATTATTGTTTGTTCTTTTTAAATTTAATACATTTTTGTATTCAAAAATATGATTATTTTTACCAATGCTATCGAAAAATGGATTTAATTGGCGATTTTCCAGCATTAGAATGTGTTTAAATATTTTCCTATTTTTTAATTGACTATTTTCTATTTTTATTGAACATGCCCACAATTTTCCCTTAATCATCAAATTATTGTTTGTTCTTTTTAAATTTAATTAATTTGTTGTTTCCCAATTAAATTATTTGAAAATATGATTACTTTTCAAAGCTTTTGGCACCACAGTGCGTATGTGTAGGCGCAAACGGCTTGAAGAGTTTCAGAGACCGCATACAAACAAACATCGGATATATGTATGTAGATGTGTTTGTGTTAAATTGTTTATTTGTTAGCCCAGCAGACAGACGGCTACTAAAGAGAAAGAGAGAGAGAGAGAGAGAGCAAATGAGAGCAAGAGAACCTACACAAGCTTACGCCAACGCTGACTTTTCATTTTTATTTCAATGTGTCTGACTGATGTCTGCTTATTATGGCTTGCCTGGCCAGCGTCGCTGTGTGAGCAAGAGTGTGTGTGTGTGTGTGTGTGTGTATCTGTGTGCTGTTGTTGCTTTTGCTGCTCATCGCGCTCGAAACAAAATCGTTCGCACTCGTACTCGTAGTCAGTCTTTTGGAATTCGCGAAAGTATGCGGTCGCCGAGCGAAGATATCGCTGCCATTGCTGCGGATAACCACAAGCAGTACCAATACCAATACAACAACAACAACAGCAACAATAATAATAATAATTATTATAAAAACTATAATAATAGCAATGGCAACGGTAACGGTGCCATTCCTTATCACGCGCGTGAGAACTCGCTGCCATTCAGTTATGGACAAATTGGCAAATCGTCGACGCCATTGCGCAAAACGCCAACGCCAACCCGAGCGGATAGTTTTCTAGATTTCGACTATGTCGCCAATAGCAACAACAGCAACAACAACGGCGGCAGTAACAACAACTACAGCAACTACAACAACAACAGCTCCATTGAGAGCAATGGCGCTACAATCAAAACGCAGCCGCGACTCACGAGCCCTTTGCTGGTGCGCAAAACGTTAGGCGGAACGACAACAGCAACAACAACAACAGGTCGCGATACAACCAATACGAATACAATAGCCAATACCTACCCCTACAACTACAACAAAAACAACAACAGCAACAGCGGCAGCAATAGAAAACTGATTGACTTGGAGGAGCTGTGTCGCGAGCGTCGTGAGAAGGTTTATGGCGAACATCGCGGACCGCCGCCAACGCCGCCACAACGACAACATTTCTTGACAACCACAACAACAGCAACAACAACGGCGAATGGTGCTGGCAATCATAACTATAATGGCTTTAATGGCTACAACCATAAGCCGTCCAAATATAATTATGATTTTGAATTTAATTTGAATTTAAACGATGATTTCGATAACTACACGCCACAATATCGGCGAGCGCACACATTGGAGCGCAGCTCGCTGCCGGCGCCGCAGTCGCAGTCGCAGCGTTACCAGACACGCAACATTGTTGATATTGCTGGCTGCGATGTGCCAGATGGCGTGTCACGCGGCCACAGCAAAAGCATATCGAATTATATGGAACGCAATTATCACACAATTAATAATGGCGAAAAAATAGTGTATGATGAACGACCTCCATTGGAAGTGACATACAAACGACAGCAGCAGCAGCAACAGCAGCAGCAACAGTTGCAGGCAACACCAACACAATACAACAACAACAACAACACGGACAGGGGCGCAATTTATGGTCAGAACAACATCCACATCGAGCAAACAACGACGCATGCGCGCCAGCGTCGCGATTTGTCGCCCATTTATGCGACAACAAGCAAGCAACAACAACAACAACAACAACAGCAGCAGCAGCAGCAGCTACATATACAGGCATCCCAGTCCACATCCCCGCGCCAATTTGGCCCAAATACCAATAGCCATGGCAATGGCCAACCGGATTATCTGACGCCCAGTCCAACAACGCCGGGCCTCAACCGACCCGAGACGCCCGCATTTCCTGTCACGCCACGCACACCATATGGCACTCAGTTGTCGCTGTCGAGCAACCAACAGGAGTCCATTTACCAGACCACGCAGAGGTCCAGATTGAACTCGGTGGGCACCAGCATTACGCAGGATGGCGGCGTGCCGCAGGAGGTGGCCGCCCATCTGGTTAAATTCGCTCGCAATTCCGCGAAATTTTGGTACAAACCCATGCTCTCCAGGGAGGATGCCATCGCATTGCTGCTGAATGCTCCGCCCGGCACGTTTCTGGTACGCGACTCGACCACCTATAAGAACGCCTATGGCCTGGTGTTGCGTGTCGCGCAACCACCACCTGGCAGCAGTGGCTCCCAACCGCAGGATCTGGTGCGCCACTTCCTCATAGAGCCCACGCAAAGGGGTGTGCGCTTGAAGGGCTGTCAGAACGAGCCCGTCTTCACATCGCTCTCGGCGCTCGTCTACGAGCATTCCATCAATCAGCTGGCCTTGCCGTGTTTGTTGCGCATTCCGGAGGAGGATGTGGTGCCATCGCCATGGGTGGCCACGCCAGCCCACCAACAACTGCTCACCCATGGTGCGGCAACGAATGTGTTGTGGCTTTACTCCTGTGACACAGAGTCCTTGACGGGCAATGAGGCAATACGCAAGGCCATCCGGCAATTGTACGCCCAAAGCCCCTTGCCCACACCCACTGAGGTGCACTTCAAGGTCAGCCAACAGGGCATCACCCTGACGGACAATACGCGCAAGAAATTCTTCCGCAAGCACTATACGGCCGAGGTCATCTCGCACTGTGCCATCGATCCGGACAATCGTCTCTGGTCCGACGAGAAGAAGACGATATTTGCCTTCGTGGCGAGACGCTCCCACAGCTCCAAGGACAATCAGTGTCATGTGTTCTGTGACCTGACCTCCAGTCAACCGGCAGTCGCCATCGTCTCCTTCGCGAACCGCACGCTCCCCACAGAGAAGCAGAGCAACTATGTCCTCTGATGCAGGGCAGCCCAGCAGCAGGACGAGTGGGCGTATGGGGAACAGGTGCGGTTGTGGCCAGCAGCTGGAAAGCGACGCGTGCATTTTAAAGGTAAGTAAAGCCTAGGCGTTGATTCTGGGTGCGGCCACGAACCACATTCAATAGGATAGACAGTAGGACCTCTAAGTAATGGAATCCATCGTGCGAATTGTTGTGTCCTTTCCAGGGCAAATATCCTTTAATATTTGAAGCTGTTTGCCTGCTTTGCCAAAATTCGATTGAATGATGTCATACACGACGAGTTATAAAAGGTTCTTTATTCCGAAACATAATTCTTTGAATCGGTTTTAAAAGTTAAGTCTTGAAGCCAGCTTTTGTTTCATTCGTCACTCCTAACATCGAATATTTTGCGTTCCTCGCATGGTAATCAAAATTTAAAACTATAGCAACACTATTTCACTTGTTTATTAAATGTTCTGCAATTGATTTCTTCAAAAACTATTTTTATAAATATTTTGAATTGTGCTTTTTATGTGTGAGTTTGTTTATTTTAGTTTATTATCGTCGTTTATTTTCGCTTTCCAACACTGGAATTAATGTTGAGAAACGTACTGATTTTTGAAAAATCGTAGCCAAAATGAATTACAATTTGACTCAAATTCGTAAATCAAACAGCACTGTAAAAACTAAGTTGAAAATCAAATCTATATCCCTTCGTTGTTTCATCGATGGCAAAAGAAACAAACCTTAAAACGTAAAAAAAATGTATTATAATCGTCCACTCAGTTAGTAAAAATAATTGTAGCACATAATTGCACATTCAAATTAAATTATTTAAAAGTGAAAACACTAAACTAGAAATTTAACTTGATTCTGATTTTTATTTAACTTTAAATATTGATTTTTAAATCTTTCAAATTCCACACAAATTTTTTCAATTTCACCAAATCTGTCTTGGAAATATTTGAAGAACACCAAAAGAAACTCTTTTGGAATTTATAGTTTAAATTTCCCTGCAAATGGGGCAGCTTGAGTTTTCTATTTTGTACCAAATGAGATATTTACTCGAATATTATATAGAAACATTAGAATCCAGATTTGCTGAATTCACTAAAGTTTTGTAAATTTGATTCTTTTGAAAATGAGAACAAATTTGATTGTATTTTGGGGAATACAGGCTAGGCACTTTTATTTTATCTCAGTCCCAGGATCTACTGTAACATGCATGCAAATGTTCCATCAATTCCATCGACAACGACGTCGACCAACTATTAAAAACATTTCATTTCATTTGGCGGTTTCAAATCAACACCCACACCACGGACTGTCCGTCTTATAAGTTAGTGGTTCGTCTGGGTGGGTGTGTGTTTGTTTACTTTACATAATACTGTAGCTTGTTTGTTTGCCTAACGGTTTCTTCTACGGACAGACAAATTGCCAACACATCGATCCCAATTTTTACAACGGAAGTTTCTGTCATGAGTCAGCTTCTAAAATTATGAAATATTTTACTGACCATAAAAACTGTAGCAGCTATTTCATTCCATTTCCATAAACCATTTGGCTAATATGTATGTATGCTTGTGTGTAGCACACCCACATGTGTATAGTATATACATTTACATTTTCAAAACGAATTTTCCACATCACGGTCATGTGTTGGGGTCGCTGATAAGGCGATACAAGCATATAGTATACCTCCAAATTTCTGCTAGATATACATATGTGCTATCAGGTGATTCGGATTTAGTCAGTTCTCCCCCTTTTAATGATACTTCCCAAACACAATAGGTAACAAATTTAACAGAAATTAGTTATTTAATTGTTGTTTAGGCTATACCTAACCCAAGACCCTATTTTCTCGGAGCGTGTTCTGCTGAACTTGGGACGATAAAAAAGTTAATATGGAAATGAACATTTTGCTTTTTTTAACAGCCGCTATTTTCCATTGAAATTAACACACAAACGTTGGCACACGTGTATAAACATACACACATATATAGTTTATATAGATTAAACAAATAATACATATGTACATATGTATATAGAACATTTTCTGCGCATTTCCGAATCGATAAATTAAGATGAAATGAATTCCAGACCCGCGGCGTCTCTGTGAATTGCTTTGTGTTTTCTTCCAGCAACCTCAAGAGCGCTGATCTTTTGCCCAGCGGCGCAACACCGCTATATAAATGTAAAAAGTAACAGTGAATACAATTGAAAAGAAGTCTAAAAATAAAACGGTTTTGATTGTATTTGAACGAACATATTGCTAATAACTAAGAGCTGCAGCAGTCTTTTTTGCTCTTCGCTTTCTTTCTCTCCAAATCTTTCAGGGAGAGGGAGAGCGCGTCGCCCTCAGTTGTACAGACACACACACATACAAGTACGTACACACACACACGTATACACACCTTCTCTGTTAGATCCAGCAAACAGCAATTGATGAAGGCATTTGTGTTTTGGAATTTGGAACGAATAAAACAATTTTATTGTTAACTGTATAACGTTGCGTATAATTTCTGATTGTACGTGTATGCCCTTGAAAATATTTTCTAATTATTTGTACAATTTTGGAAAAGATATACATACTATTTTGACCCGACTTAGTAGCCATGAACAGAGGAACATATTTAATTTCCCTGCAGCTTTTTTAGCGTAATTTGTAAGGTTTCCTATCATTTATACATACATATAATTAATAGGACTACATTGAAAATCATGCTCAATGATGAATAAAACAAATTAGGAAATGTGTAAAATGTGTAAACTCTGTAGTAATACACATATGGTCAAAATAATAAGTACACATATATAACTAGTCTTTATTCTGAAATACATATATCGAATTTAATTAAATAGTTACATTCCAATTGTCGTTTCTATAAACTGCCAGCTTAAAATCCACCATAAATCCTATTTCATGTACGAGGTTTAGCGTATTTAAAGAAAAAGGCTGCCTATTCTACATGCTAGTTTATTTTATATTTGAACTATTTTCATTTTACCAGATGTACCTAATATTTTGTAATTTCTACGTTGGCTTTCAGTAAAAGTTAAAAAACAATTCTCTTTAAGGTCAAGATAAGGAAGTGTACTCTTTTTTCAAAACCAACTGTGTTACCTTATATTCTAAATGTGTTCTTATCTACTCAGATGTTCTGTAAAAGTATTGTTATTCAGCCGGCCACCCTCCAAAAAACTTACCCCCCTTGCACAATTGTAATTATGTTACAACTTTTGTAGGCATTTGGCTTCATGCTTGCCAATAAAAAATAACTAAATTCACAAATAATTTAAATCGGTCCAGCTGTGAAAAATTACAACTTTTGTAATTGGCATGCTGAAGACGATTTATAAACAAGTAAAAAAGCTAAAGTCGGGTGTCCCGACTTTGAAATACTCTGTACATATGTTTACAATAATTATAGAAAATAAAAAAAATTAAGAAAATAAAAAAAAAAATTTGATCGATTTTACCTCTCTCGGTATTCGAACTCACGTAAAGGGTGTATAATTGCACATTTACATAGCAATTCCGTCTGTGTGAGTGTATGTATGCCTATGCGCATCAATTCGTGTCTGTGTAAGCATTTTCGCAGTCAACCAAACAGCAACATCAACAACAGCCGCGGGCAGCGCTTGAGCAGCGCTGCAGCAGCGCTGCATCAGCAAATATATTTATGGCTATAACTTCTTGTTAAATCGGTCTATCATAATGAAATTTGGCATACGGACACATAATAACCAACTGGGGGTATTTCCAAAATTTTAGTTCGAAATTCCAAGAATTACGGGAGTTACGATTTGCGGGGTAGAGGGGGGAGGGAGGGGAATTCCAAAATATACATTTTCTGCGTATTCACATAAGGCATCTGGGACTAAAATTTGGTGTTCCTAGGTCTTATAGTCTCCGAGATATAGGCGATTATACGAATGGAAAATCGGGAAAACCCCCATAGGGGGGAAGTGGGGGGGAAAATCAAAAAAATAAAACAAACTCGTATAGAATACACACATAACGCATCTTCGTGCAAAATTTGGTGTCTCTATCTCTTATAGTCTCTGAGATCTAGGTGTTCATACGGACGGACAGACGGACAGACAGACAGACAGGGCTAGATCGACTCGTCTCGTCATGCTGATCAAGAATATATATACTTTGTGGGGTCTGCCACGCCTCCTTCTGCCTGTTACATTTTTCAGCTCCCGCAAACCTAATATACTCTTGTACATTTCATGTAAAGAGTATAAATATACTTGTACATAGCTGCCATATTTTTCACATTTTGCTGCGTAGGCCGCCTGCTGCTTAACATTAAATTTAGCACACATTTCGTAACAGACAGCTGTTATGTTGGGATTATGTTAATGATGGGAACAGCGAACAGCAAATACTGTCTCCATGTTACATAACATTTTGAAGATTTGATCGCAGATGTTAAGATCAGTCCAACACTCACACTCACATGAATATTCCATAATTATGAAATTTCTGTTGTTTTCTTGTTTCATTATCCTTTTTTTACATTACAATACATCTCCATGCATTGTTAAATTATGCCCAGCAAACAGCACCTCACATTGCAAATTTCACTTCAAACAAATTATATTTACACACGCAAGCACTTACTTATGCTATATTTGCGAAAGATAAAAGGAAAACAATGCATTCTTTATAGATGCACTCACAGAATACTGCGCGACTTCGACTGCAAGCTCAGATACTTTTTAAGGGAGATTGTGCAAGTCTTGGCAACACAATTAACAATTAATTGCCATTCTTTAACAACAACCCGTACTTTTTTTTTATTTTTTTAATGAGTCGACAAAGATTGCAAGCCATATAAGCTAAAAAGCCTAAATACAACAAATCTAATAAGTTGACAATAATATCTCTTAACGCCTTCGATAAATTGTGGAAATTTTTATTTGCCATCGGGCCCGATAGAGATAAAAAGTTATTAGGGAAGCTTAATAAGTATTAAGGAATTGTACATTCATTTCCATAAGAAAATAACGAAAAATCTTAACCCGGTGGGGGATGATTAAACCGAGAGTGGTAATGTCTTCCACGACTTCTACGGAGATGGTTTCAAAATTTAAATTAGTTCTGTTGAAAGTGAAAAAGTTCATTATATCAGCTTTAATTCTATTCTGGAAAACTATATTTTCCATTTCTATTCTTCTTCTTTCGGTTGTTCAAACTGCCGATTCGTATACAACAATACGAACAATTCATTGCGTCTTTATTCTGTTCTGTTGACCATGTGGTACTGTATATAGTTTATAACAATTTATGACTGTATATAGCCAGGTGAACGAAGCGAAGACACAGATACTATAGATAGACAATTCATCGTTATATATTTAAATTTATTCAATGAAAGCATATTTAAAATATACATGAGTTCTTCTCCAGTTCAGTATTGCCTTTCCCCACCAAATCAGGTGATCCCCAGTATCTGAAGAGCATTTTATCTTACTTCCATTTACTGTTATGTTCTCATTTATGAATGTTTGTTATACTCATATAATTATATATCTTCTTTCTTATTCTGCTTTAAAAAAGAAGGAAATTGTCTTTATGGCAGGCACTGTCACTTTTAGAGATAAGTGGAACTGTAGAACGTGTTTTTTCTTTGCGAAGAGTCGTCTTTATTTAAACTTTAAATGTGACTGCCTTTATTTTTTCATTTCTGCAATAACACCAAGTGCTGCAGAATAATTTGGATAATATTGAGAGACAATCTATTCCTTGCTCTACTAAGTTAAGAAGCAGAAGCTACACGCATCCAAGCTATACGATTGTTTTAAATTCTTGTTTCATCAATTTTTATTTGTAATTTTGATTTTTTGCCTGCCTTGGAATCTAAGCTAGCTTGTAATTTGTTGTTTGATTTCAAATGTATAGCGACTAGCAGAGTGAAATGTTTTTCAATTTAAAAATAGTTTTAAAAGCCGTTTACATTAATTTTAACATCTATCTCTATCTTTTTCTTGTTTTGCAGGCGAGCACGATTTTAATTAGCGTTCCAAACTGTGCTGTTCCATCCAAACGGCTAGCAGTGTTGTACAACGTTAAACTAATCAAGTAGATTACGTATACGCCGTGTGCGGCCGCACAAACGAAAAATTGTTATTAAATTACACATACGACAAATACATTAACAAAATGATGTCAGTTGTAGTTTATGTGACACACACACCCATATACATACATATATACATATATACGTACGCACATGCACAAACACACACACATATATATTAGTTACGCAGCCACGAATACAAACAGCAGCAAAATTTATTTGATGTTTTGGCAAGGCAGCATAAAAAACTGTTTATGGCAAAACTTAAAGTGGAGAGCAAAAGAGCAACCAACAATTCGCTTTTTTTTTGTCAACTTGATTTGACAAACGCACAGAGCGCGCACAGTGGAGCAAAAGTTGGACAATTTTATATGATAAAGAACAAGTTATCAAAATTTAGATTTGACAGCACAAATGTTTCATGTTTAAGTGTCAATTTTTCTTTTCAATTAAGAGTTAACTTTTTAAAAGGTCAAAAATAATTTATATTTTTTATTTATCTCCGTTTTCAACAACGATGTAATTATATTTTCTAATCACCTGTTGTTACAGCTGGAATGTAGAATATATTTAAAGAAGTAAAGAGGTGACAAATTTCTGCTATCAAAAGCTAAAAAGTAATATTCAGTTAATAGTTATGAGAAATTTTATATGATAAAGAACAAGTTATCAAAATTTAGATTTGACAAATGTTTTATGTTTAAATATCAATTTAGACAGAAGGAAAATTTATCTTTTCATTTAAGAGTTGGCTTTTTAAAAGGGTAAAAACAATTAACATTTTATTTATTTATCTCTGTTGTCAAGAACGATTTAGTTATATTTTCTGGTCACCTGTTGTTACATCTGGAATTTAGAATATATTTGAGGAAGTAACGAAGTAAATTTCTTCTATCAACTTTTGACAAGTAAGAAGCTAAAAAGTAATATCCACTTAATAACTATAAGCCCCACAGAAATGTTTAGAGCTGCACATCTAAGGCAGTTATTTGGCTTATGGCGCCCGATTAAATGCAATAAAATCAAATTGCAGGCCACTGTCGCGAAACCGAAATCGAAAACCAAAAGTTGCGCACTTATTAACTTTAAAGGTTTTGCGTGTCTACCTGTATTTGTGTTAGTATATACAAGTATATGTGTGTGTGTGTGTGTGAATTATTTATGTCTATATATCTATCAGCTATAAGAGTGTACGATTTGTGTTTTGTTTTTTTGTTTGTTTCTATCTATCGATGGCTACAGGGTGCGCTTCGTGCAAATGTCTACTGACGAATTGTTTTGCAAATCTAATACATTAATAAACGTACAGTTTAAGTTTAAATGTTAATTAAATTAACACTAATTAATATGCAAACCATTGTGCCAGTTTGCCATATACGAGTATATATCTACACTCTTACCACATAATATACAAATACCTTACACATACCTAATTAAGTTCTACTACTAATGCAGTCAATACAAATAATGAAATGTGCAGTGCAATTAAATTGAAGCGAATACAAAAAATATACATACATACATATATGTACATACATATATGTACATACATATATGTTATATATAAAATGCCAATCCAATTTACGACAACTACTTATTATTACAAAACAAAGCAAATTTGTATGCAATACGAGTATAGTATGTATGTGGCTGAGGCATCTGTTAATAATTTGTTATCTGCTGTCGCACTCTGCGCTTGTAAACTAAATGTATAATAAATATAAAAATAAAAGTTGTACCATACTTAGCAAATATGTAACATTGTTGTTCTCATTGTTGTTGTCCACAGCCCTCTCGTTAAACAATTAAGCGCCTGTTATTTATATGCCAGATGACATTTTGCGCACAATATTCTGTTGTAACTTAATCTCAGACATGTGTATACTATATATACATATATACACTATGCACACATATATGTGGCATATGTGTGTCTGAGGAAGGTGACTGAAGACTGCGAAGCTTTAGTTGGATGTTCTATTTCGATAATAATGAAGCTGGCATGGCACTAGTCTTCATTCGTAGTAAAATGAACTTTAAAAGCGTTAATTGCGTTAATTTTTATATAAATATAACAGGCAGAAGAAGGCGTGGCAGATCCCCCAGAGCATATATAATCTTAATCGGTATGACAAGACGATTCGATTTAGCCATGTCTGTCCGTCCGTCCGTATGAATACATAGATTTCAGAGACTATAGGACTCAGATGCTTTTTATGGGTACGCAGTAGAAGTGTTTTTTTTTTTCAATTTTCCTACTTTCCATCGATTTATAGATCACAAAAGTTTTGTTTTACAATTTCATTTACTATTTTTTTAAATTTATATAAATTATTTATTTATTTACACCTACAAAGGTACATAGTATTCAAAGTTGGGTCACCGGACTTCAGCTTTTACACTATTCTTTTTAAATTTAATTTGAACTCTCTGTTCTACAACAATTATTCTTTATAATTATCTTCGGGGAAATCTCTGGCCAGTTTCAATTATAATGTTATATTAATTCATATATTCATTTTAATTTTTATATTATAATACATATATAAAAAATGTTAATATATATTGTAATAATTATAATAGAATGTGTCAACAGAACTACTTGTTGATTTACTAAATAAATAAATAAAGTAACGGAAAAGTGCAATTTTTGGTCAAATAAGTTGTTTAGTTGTTGTTGAAGAAAACTCATTTTTGCAACATGACCAACATTTTGTAGCTTTTTATCAAAATAGAGCTAATTTCAGAACAAATAAAGTTACATCGTCCAATAGAAAAGACATCTAATCGTTGTTGCAGACGATCAAAGAGGGTCCAATATACTGCTGGCTAAGCTTGATAGGTAATCACTAATTATGAAGAAAGCTTCATTATTTTTTTACGTAAGCCACTTAATATACCCTGTACTCGACGGATAAGGAATAGTTATTAAATACCTAGTATTATAAATTGAAAAGAGTTTTTTAAATGGTTATGACTAAGAACTCGACTGAGAACGAATTGGAAATTGCGAGTTAAAACACAGAAAATGTGCGGAAAATTGGTAATTACTCTTAGATAATTGTTCATACACAAAAAAAGGTTCGTAATATTATTGCTCTGGATGTGGTTTTTCAAGAATTTCATTTATAAGGTCGGTATATAGTACTTGTAAGTAAGCATTTGACTGTTCATTAAGAGTGAAGGTGAACAACCAAAAGGCAAGCTTTTCAAAGTGAATGGTTGCTAATCCGATAATAAGGGCAGGGCCTTTATGAAAGTTGATTACATTTATCGTAAATCAATATTTGTTATAGACGACCTTGCTTGCGGTTGTGTGATCGTAAAAGGCTGAAGAGCTCAGAAAGTTATATGCTTTCTGCAGGGACAAGTGCAGCTCTGCCTTTGAGGAAAGACTTTAATATACCTTGGCATAGAAATTATGCCATAGATGCTTCCTCCTACTACAGACCAAGACTGGATAGTCGCATATTGCTCCTGGCAGAGCCTGCATGTTGCATTTGTGGTCCAATTTATTTTGTGAATTATTATTATAATGAATTATAATTATGGTATTTTGCTATATGATGACATTGGGTTTATTACCAAACAAATAAATTCCGTACGTGTCTTCCTATTGTTCAAGAAGTCGCTTTACCCATTGGTAGGACGACCAAGAACGGAGTAGCTTTTGGAATTAAAGACCAGGACTAAGTCAAAGCCTATAATAAGTAGCTCCACTAATGCCGAGTATTTTTATACCCTGTACCCGTAGGGTAAAAAGGGTATATTAGGTTTGTGCAAAGTATGTAACATGCAGAAGGAAGCATCTCCGACCCCATAAAGTATATATATTCTTGATCAGCATGACGAGAGAAATCGATCTAGACATGTCCGTCCGTCTGTCCGTCCGTCTGGATGAACGTAAGGATCTCAGAAACTATAAAAGCTAGAATAACCAAAGTTGGCATCCAGATTCTCCTAGGTCCGAGAAAGGACGAGTTTATTTTATTTTTTGGAATTTCCCCCCCTTCCCCCGCTACAGAATTTCGTCAATAGCGTCCACATTTCAAATGCTACCTAAACCAAACTTTGCACACATAAGTTATATATAATTATCTAATGTTGTTCAAAATTGTATCCAATTCGGTCAATTCTAAGAAAAGTTATTAGCGAAACAAATTCTCGCCAGTACAACCCCCACAAACTGCAGCAACAAGTTCGCTCTTCTTCTTCCGCTTTTTGCTTCTGCTATGGGCGCATATGCCTCAGTGTCGGAAGTTCACCTGGGTAGAGGGTATTTCACTGTCGGGCTTGCTCGACTGTAGCGTTCTCTCTTGTTCTAAATATGTTTACCTTTTCAAAGTAGAATCAGATATTTTCGAAATACTTATACTATATTATTATACTTGTATATGACTTGGTAGTTAAAGAACTGCGAATACGAATTTTTATAATGAAAACTACAATATATTAATGTCATTTGTGCTAGAATTTGATTTAGGCAGAATTGAAATTGCAATTTCCAGAAATTATAAAACTATTTGGCTTAAAACGTTGCCTAGTGGAACAAAAATGAAAAATTTAATGCTGAGTATGCGTTTAAGAGATTCCAAATAGGATTAAAGCGGATTAAACGCATGGTTGATCTGTTTTCGACTCAGCCATGTAGCAATATATGGTAGACCTTTTACGATTGTTACAAGTCCTTTCATTATCGCTTGTCCGACGCTCAAGGCTTCTACTTTCGATTGTTATTTGTTATTAATACTATAAATGGCCATGGCTTTAGTCTTTAGTATTTTGAAAACCTTTTGCTGAACTTAGACGTTGTCACTTAGTCTGTTACAGCATTTTAATAGAGCCTTTCAAAATTGTACCTCCCTGCCACACACACACACACACACACACACCCACAATCGAGCTGCTTTGTTGTTGATCTTCAGAGACAGCTGCGCATTAATGCACAAATGCAATTACAATACAGACACACATACATATGTATGTATGTCTTTATATGTCTGTACATGCATTTAAAATGAAATTGAAACGCGACCTTGAATTCAATTTATAGCAAAGTGACGTCATGCGCGAAACGAAAGCAGCAACAACAACAACAACAAAAGGCGAGCGACGACAACAAGCGACAGCTGTTTTATTATTTTTTATTTATTTTGTTTTTTGGCAGCACTTAACAAGGAAAACAACAGCAACAATATATGTACAACACAAGCACGTGTACATGAATATATACATATGTATATACATAGATACATATGTATATACATATACTATTTGTTACAAAAATAACAATTAATTGGCTTTGTCGGCACAAAAAATAAAACCGATTCGAGTGAAGCTCAATTTTGCGCCCACAAACAAATTGCTAAACATTTTAATGAGTTCGTAAATACACACAGTTATCTACATATGTATATGCATACCTACACACACACACATATGTATATGTATTTATGCAAATTGGCTTCCGTTTGTCAATAATATTCAAGCTTGTTTCCAATTTGGACAGCCAAACAAGTTTGTCATGTTCTTTGACTAATTGAAACATTCACTCAAAATTATGTTTTTAATTGGAAGGCCTTTAAAGACCCGAAGCTATGTCTGCTTCTATTTCTTAGGCAGTGAAATCTGTTTGCTTTGGAATCCGGATTAAGGCATGCGGCTATGAACTCTGACATTTTAGAAAGTCCATTAATCAACACGAGCAACAGTCTATGAAGTGGCGAAATAATAGAAAGTAAATTTTATTCTTGGACCCCCAAACTGCTCGAAACGAAATTGCGTTTATAAATCACTTTAACGAATTGTAATTGCATGATATGAGATTTATTTTTAAAACATCTGCGTCTAACTAGAAACATATAAGAATGATTTCTGTTGGTAACTATTAAATATTGATAAATATTAATGGAGGAACCAACGTCAAAGTTTACAAGTTTAAATAAGAAATAAAATGTTAGATTCAATTCGTCACTGATCCCTTAACATCCAACAGACAATTGGTGACTTGCAAAGTTCTTCTCTTTTTTTTTAAGTAATATGAATTTATAGTTTCCTAAGCTCTGGATTAAGTCATGGGATTATGAACTTCGCCATTTTAGAAAAAATATTAATCCACATTAAACAGCAGATGATATGGTGGCAAATTTTTGGAAAGTTTATTTCCACATCCGCTTTGAAATCACTTTTATGAAATGAGACTTAGTTGGTCTGGTCCGATATAGTTTCGGGTCTTAGCTACTGAACTAAGTCTGTGACTTTAGCTTTATTTAGTTTTTGTAATTATGGTGTTTATTTTTAGTTTCTCTAATGCGTTAATTATGTAGATTACTTATCGAAATGAATTCGCAAATAAAATTCAAAAATATTTAAAATATATTAATGAATAATATTTGGAGAGAAACAGTAGTACTACACTTTAGTGACTCTCCTAAAAAAATTTACTTTTCTGCCCAGAAATAGTTTACTTTTTTTTTAATTTTTTAGTTACGAAAGAAAGTAAATTTCTTATTTAAAAAAAAATATTTAATGTATACCTAGATTTGTCGATTTAGTTAAGCTTTATAAGGTAAAAATCGTAGTAAAACGTAAATTACAGTATTGAAGAAATTATGGTATATATTTAAATACTCGTATTTAGATTCATATTTCATCTAAAAATTCAACTAATTTAGCTCGAACAGATGGAAGCGTGGCAGATCCCATAAAGTGTATTTATTCGTGAAAGGATTTCGGAAAGTGAAGCATCTATAATCACCAAACTTGGTGTTCATATTCTAGAGAAGGCTTAGGCGGGACAGGAGTGGGTTTTCTAACTCTGGTGCCCATTTTTAGGTATTATTTCTGAACTAGATGTTCCGTACTATTAAAACTTTTTGCTAAATCGGCGATAATTGGAAAAGTACATCAGTAAATGTGTACGCGCTATATGACTTTATATCTTTATACATAGTGTTGAATGGTATAAATAAAAAGGCAAATGTAAGTGTTAAAAGTACATACTTGATTATCACAGCGAAACGAATCCAATCCGTCTCTCAGTGCGAGTTAACGTCGAGAACTTTTAACCATAACAGCTAAGTTTCTGTTTCTAGACTTGGTCTTTTCCACTCAGATTTTGTTTATTACAGATCATATACTACAGTCACAATATTTTGTATAGCAGCCATATGACCTATTGGTGGAAAAAGAACTGTAAGTTGTGTTGTTTTCGAGGATGTCCGAAGAACATTTGGTATTTATGAGTTATACTTTTAATTTTGTTTTATTTAGTATTTATTCATTTTTAAAAATGTGTATGTACTTTTGTTAACCTATCCTAGCTGCTAGTACTGGTTTATTTAGGGAAAAGGCATATAGTTTAATCCCCAAAAAAGGTGCTCCCACCAGTACTCACCCACCAAGAGTAAAGGAGTAACATATATTTCCAAAAACAAAACCAATGACGGTTGCTTTTAAAAATAATAATTTTCTTATTGCATTTTTGTCTTTAATACATTTTACATTATTGTTGTTGTTGTAGGTGTGTGTGTGTGTGTGATTGTGTATTTGTGTATAAAAAATGAGCATAAAATCAACATTTCCCCATACGCTGTACGGTGTGGGTGTATATATGTATTTGGGTGTCTGTGTGTGAGTGTGTGTGTGTGTGTTTGTTTATATATCTACATAACTACATACGTACGTATATGCTTGTTTGTGTGTGTGTGTTCACATATAATATTCAGTTAAACATAATAAATACACTTTTAGTTAAATATGTCTCATATGCATAACAAATAATACACATCCAGTGTCTTGCGGATATCGTAATTCAATCAAAAATTCATCGCCCAGAGGCGATCCCAACAGACATCTGTACAGGTGTGGGTATCTCAACAATTAGTCGAACTGACAGACGAGCACAGAATTGTGTGAACGCGAAACAAAACAAACAAAATAATGAAGCTGAGCAGAGTGCCAGTTGTAGAAAACCAATGCCTATTCGTTAAATTTGCAATAAATCTGTTAAATTTAGTTCGTTTCGTCTTTTCCGTTTCAATCGATAGAATTAAAATTTGTTAGTTTCTTACTTTTTTTTTGGCTAATTTCACGAGCCTATTGCCTTAACATTCGCATTTTTTTATTGGCTATATAAATGTGTGCATGTGTGTTGTCTTCTTCGTATAAATGTTTTAGACTAATTCGATTTGGCCGAATACGGACTGCTGGAACCCACCGAGGGCGGCGTGGGCGTGGCACCACTACGTATTCCATCGCCTTCGCACACATATTTACCTAAATGGAGAGTTCGATTGATTTAGTAAGCAATTGTGTTTAAGTAAACATCGATGACTTACCAGAAACGAACCGCCTTTTGACCAAAGACAGACGATAACCGCTGCCCTGCAACTCAAACTCAATGCCCGAGAGCGTGGTGCCCTCACAATTGAACTGTGTTGAGAGTATGGCCGGCGTTGAAGGCCCATCGTTCAGCTCTAGGCGCGCCCGCAACGTTCCCACGCCGCCGTCCTGTGAGTTTTGCGATATGTCCGTGAAGTTCCAAATTAAACGATTCGATTCCCCCAGCCTGCAATATAGAGAACCAATATTTTTAATTAGGTGTCCAATAAGAAAAACTATCAACTTTTGATCGAGAAGTATGGAGTATATGTATTTGATTGCTTACCACGCCGAATGGGGCTTTGATTGGACATTCCGCACCGAACCATTCACCGGCACTGACAGCGTCACATTCAGCAAAGGTGAGGCACTGGCCATGGCATGATTATTGTACTTGTAGTCGATTTTGAGCGCCGTATAGCTGGGCTCACATTTCCAATAGCTCACTAATTGGAAGGGACAGGACGAGGCGCCCGGCTTGGTGCGCACCTGATACTTGAGTATGTCCACGTTGAAGTAGGACGCTGTAGGATTTTTCTCGGCCTGCTGGCGCAACAGCGCCGTCAACGATTGCATATTGAACTCGAGCATAGTGCTAAAGGCGCTCGACTGCTGGCGATCGCTAAAAAATTTAAATAAAGCTCATCAGTTGAGGGCGAAAAGAATGCCGATGATGATGATGGTTAGCTTCTTACATTTGCACCAGCGTGCTATTTGGTATAAAATTCTCCATATTTTGTACATTCTTAATGCGAAAGCCCAGCTTGGCTGGATTGGGATTATTTGCTAGCAGGCCGACAATGCCGGCTGGGAATGAAAGCATCATATCGCCGGAGACCTTAACCTGGCAACGCGACTCGTCGCTGCCCCTGCAAAAAAAAAAGTACAAGCAGTTAGAAAGAAGTCCAGACAAATTTGTTGTCCACATTCTTACCGAAAGTAGGCGTGTATAATCTCATGGAATGCCACCGCCAGCGGTATGGTGTCCGATATGCCAATGGTAAGTGGCGAGGGTCCACGCGACGAACCCACACCCCCGATGGCCGTGCGGAACTCCAGACTGCCAATGCTGTCTGCGCGATTCATCGGCGACGGACTCATGCGCCCCCGTCCCGGATTTGTTGTGGCCGTCGTCGCAGCCGGGCCAATGGCTATCATATCTGAGCGCCGTGACGGCGGACGCGGTATAGCAATGCTGCTGCCTCCGGCCGAAGTGGGCGTGGGTATCTGACGACTACTCTGCTTGCTCAGTGTGGCCGAAGCGGGTGCCGAGGAGCTCACCTCGCCCAGCTCCGAGAATATATCACCCAAATCCGCGTAACGATTATGCGATGCATTGTGTGCAGCCACATTGTTGTTGTTAGAGAGCGTCGGACTCTGCAATGGCGCGTATGGATGGACACTAGCCGTGGGTGTAGAGGCATTCGAAATCTCGGGCGATTGCTGACGCGATGGAGCACGGGCCTGTTGCAATTGTTGGCTGTGATGCTGTTGGGACAACAAGGAACAACTTATTAATGGTCATTCAAAAGGTCAAAGCATATAGTTTTGAAATTTCCTTGCCATTGAACTTTCCATTTTTAACAATATAAGTCTTTCATGGTTGAATTGCCAAGCCGAAGCCAGAATGCTCAGCAAATCCCTTTTGTCCGATATGAGACAGATCAATTGTATATAACAATAAACTTCTTGCCTTTTAAACTATTATTTTACATGAATGGTATGCGACTGGTTATCTATTTACAGAAGTCTCTGAGTCACTGAGAGATTATTTTTTATATTTGCAGATGAACTGGTTAACTAATTCCGACACATTGATGAATATAACTGTTGATTTGAATCCAATATCTTTACAGCAAATAAAGTGTTTTTTTAACTCGCGTCCTGACCCTAGAAATCTCAAACACCAACTACTCCAACGACCGTTTTCTTATTTTGAGAGATCTATAAATTACTCCTAATATTGAATATAAGCTCGGACTATTATCTACACACCCATGAACTTTAACATTTTTCAATAAATTACACGCAATACTTTTGAAAGTTTTAAAGTTTTTCTATTGGAATGCCAATGAAAAATGTGTTTCGGCTAAATGGAGTCTAAATGATTTCACTAAAGCAACGATCTAACAATTAATAGAGATTATCCACTCTAAATATCAAAATAAGTGCTAATATATTTCATCTAGTAAATAGTTCGAGACACAAGAAGGTAGCTACAATTAATTTTGAATGTGAACTTTCAAACAATTTTAAGCTCCGAAAATAAAAAACCTTCATTAATTTATAGCGGACTAGTGTGGTGTGAGCTCGAAAATAGAATATCTTTGGACTGTGAAAATTTGGCATTACACAGAAATATAATTTGGCGTCGATCCGATTTTTGATTTCGGTGTTAGGTCTTATCACAAAGGGTATTTTGAGAAAGCCGGATTACGCACCGAAAAGCCGCCCGTAGGCGACAGCGATATATTCTCCACGGTGGCACGAAGCTCATCGACGCTGGCCGACATTGGTGCTTGGCCATTCTTCAGAGGCTTGATTTTCACATGTATGCGACGTTCGGGCTTGTCGTTATCCGAATCCGTATCGGAGTCAGAGTAGAAACTGCCAGCTATAATGCAAATATTAAGATTTATAGCCCATTATAGTTGTAGGAATCATAACACTCTTACACTTGTCATGACCCTCCTCCCAGGCAATCTCCTTCGGTGGCTGTATGCTGAAGCCTTCTTCGTCCACTTCGTAGCCACCACCAGTTGCAGTGCCCGACACATTTGTGCCTCCACTTGTGGCCGTTGCTGCCGCGCCCGCTCCTGCCGAGGCTGATATGGCATTGGCCAGGCCGCCGCCACTTGCTCCACCGCTGCCTCCGATGCTGCTGCTGGCACCCGCCGAATCAACGCTGCCCTGCGCCGAGGTTGCCGACAAAGCAGCTAAGCCACCGCCCGCGCTGCTGCCGCTGGAATTTTGAGTTTTCATAACGCGTCCATGATCATCATAGTCGAGCAGCGTATTATTGGCGCGCTCCACACTGATGGGCACAGCACAATAATATAATATATGTAGCAAACATTCGACAACAATACTATATTATTCGATTTGATGAGCTGATGAACTCACCTGGCCAAACGCTCCTCTTGAATGTTCTCGGCCGCATCGTTGTCCTTCTTCTTTTTGGATTTCTTCGTTTTCGTCTTGTCGCGGCGACTCCGCAAAATGCCCGAAACTGTTTTGAAACAAAACACAAAAATGCACATTTTATTCAAATTCAAATATTTTGATGCCGACAAACAAACGACAGCTGAAACCGAAGCATATACAAATAAAAATATTGTTATGTACAACAACACCACTGTCTCTAGTTAACAATTTCTGTGTAAATCATCAGAATAACTAACAATAATATACATATACTTATACATAAATAATTATGTTTATAGAAGTAGGCGTTTTACAGAAATTCAGCAGAAAAGTAGAACGAACACCGGCCAACTAAGTACAATATTTCCTAGAACCCGAATGAAATGACTGATTAACCATATCTTTACTAATATTATAACAATGAAATGAATGTTTGTTTGTTTGAATTGAAAAGGCTCCGAATGTTGACTGACAATGTTTTTGTAAAAAAAAATTAAGTCCCAAAACTTGGAGCCGACCTCGACAAATTCAAAAGCTTTTTAAAATTTTCACAAAAAGAAACTCCCGAAAAACTTATACATCTGCGGTACAGTTCTATTGATTGCTCTAAAATTGAGTGATAAATTGAGAAGCTATTACTTCTTAAATATTTTGTGATTTTCGAAAAAGCAAAGAACCTCGTTTTCAACAAACGTCTTATTGATTATTAAAATCTAGAAAAGTAAGTAACGTAGTTGACGTAAGCCTTAACATCAGACAATTCAGTGATTATTATTAATTTTTTTTTAAAATTTTTTTTTTTTTTTTTTTTTGGAAAGTTTTTAGTGGAGCTCGGATGTTTGCAAGCTAGTTTAATATTTGTCCTTTAAAAAGTGAAATCCGTCAGATAAAGCTGTATAATTTCATTTATGAATCCCCGTTTAGTTAATAATCTGAACAGCATTTGTAATTCCTGCTATTCAGATAAAAGCCTCAATGTTCGTTCTAAAACAAAAAAGCTAGCAATTAAAAAATATTCAACACATAAATTTAAAGAGCATCCATGATGAGGAATGCAATTATAAATAATCTTATATATAGAGTCTGAGTATATAGAGAAGAAATAAATTGGAACTCAAACACCGCCATAAAAAGTGCATTACCAAATAATGATGTGGGGCTGTTAGAAAGCTTGCAAGTCACAAAATTTTGAATAAAATTATATATATCCAAACAATTCAATTGAAGCCGTGCAGAGTAAAAAATTTAAATAAAAACAATGAATTAGCATTACAAATAAAATAGAAATAATGGTAGATAAATTTACAAAATATAGTGCATTGTAGTTGCTTTTCTTTTTGGTTTGGCTTGGATTTTGGGCACACGAGTTTCGTTTTTCATTTACCCTGAGAATTTGATGTGAATATATTTAAGAGTGACGTTGTACGCCTGGACGTTGTTGTTGTTGTTGTTGTTGTTGCTGCTGTTGCTGTGGTTGTAGTTGTTGCGGCATTGCCCATTACAGTCTGTTGTTGTTGTTGTTGTTGATGATGAAGATGATGATCTTGTTCATTTAATGATTTCGATAAATGTTGCTCACTCGTCGTTGCATTCAAATACTTTTTGCCAACGACACTTGCAGTTGGCGTTAAGGCCTCAGCCGGCTGTTGTGTTTGTTGTTGCTGCTGATCTAGAGGTGTTGATATTTTGTTTTTGTTGTGGATTTTCAATTATTTAGTTGATGGAGTGCGTGTTTGAATAATGCAAGGCATAACAGGCATGACAGAGAAACAAAGCACAGCGCATAAATAGAAATGAGACGAAAAAAATATTATTAGTGTTATTAACTGGAGAACAGAGTTGGAGAGAGTTCTTGAGTGTTTTTGCTTTTCTTTTCCTAAGTGTGCGTTAGGCGTGTATGTGCAAATGTGTGGGTGCAGGTGTGTGTTTGTGAACATTTAGTGAGATGCTTCGGCTGGTGTTTGAGTGTTTAATTTCGGGGACATTTAGTGCGTAAATTAAAAAAATCAAATTATAAATAAATCAAATATACAGATAGAGAGACAAACACATGTAGAAAAAAAGATTAATTTACAGAGAAACAGAAATAGAGCGGCGGTAAAGAATATAAGACTCTTAAATCTAAATTGATTAAAAGAACTTAAATATAACGTCAAAATATACAAATCCTCAAATCTCAAATTGCGTTATTATTTTACCTTTTGACTATTCAGTAACTCAATTCAGTTGTTTTATCTAATCTTCTATCGAATTGGATATAAGGAGCAGCTATTGATAATAATAATAGGCCCTCTAATGAAATAGAAAACGAGTATGTATACCTTTTGAGTTCGTCTTATAAAAAAGTTCTCCCCGCGAATGTTGTTCTTTCTTATTTGTCTCTTTGTGATCGGAAGCATTCAAACTCATAAATCAATAAACCTTTCAATCATTTCTAAATCTATAAGGCTTGTCAATATTTAATTGATGATCAAATCTCTTTATCCCCTCATTGTTCATCATGAAGACTACACTCAGATGTGGATTATCCATTATTATACTTGCTGGACATAAAATAAATAAATAAATCTATCACTAGTAACAAACAAATCAAGAGCAGCCCTATACAATATAAATGTTGATGCATTAATAACCGACATTTCCAAGAGAGAGTTTTCAATGAAAGCTTGGCTCTAAAAAAAACACTCCACTTAAAACACTAAAATTATCTGTAAATGTGGAATATTCACATATATCCAGTTGTTTCTATAGAGAGAGAGCATTTCAAATTAATTGTCACCTAATGGTATGTACAATATATACAGATGATTCGAATTATGATGGACAATTGCATTTTATATTAGTATTAAACACTAGAGATAGACACTTAGTTGATAGTCTGGATAATATAGAGTTTAGAGTAACACACATATAGTTGAGATATGTACTAAAACCAATTAAAACCATTAAAGAAACAGAGAAACAATAAAAAGCAGACAAAACAAAAGAAAATAATAGAATGGAACCTTGATCTATATCCTGAAGCTCAGAGTTAAGGGAATTTTTGGTGATATTGGTGGTGATGTTGTTGGTGGTGCCGGCGTTTGTTGTGCCAGTTGTGGTTGTGGTGTTGTTGTTGTTGCTTGTGTTGTTGTTGATGTTGCTAGCAGAACCATTGGCAGCCATACCGAAATTTCCAGCATTGCCACCAGTTGGCTGTGCTTGTGGCTGCTTGCTAAACCACGATCGCAAACTCTTGACTGTAGAAACAGCAGCATTCGTGGGTGCCGGTTGACTGCCTGCGGGCGTTGCAGCCGCAGCGGCGCTCAGCATGTCCGGCGATGTGGGTCGGGGCGACGATAAGCTGGCACCCAGAATGGCATCATCCGCATAGGGAATACTACCACTTGCCGCTGAGCCGCTGCCCAGCGATATGCCCGCCAAGGCATCAGCGGCAGATCCTCCACCGCCCGCACCTCCTCGCTGATCCATGGATACTAGACTACCGGCAGTGCCGATGGCTGAGCCGCCTGCTCGCAATGCTGCCTGTATGCTGGCTGCAGAGTTCGAATTGGAGGCGGTAACGGAAGCATGTGACTGATTAAGTCTCGACGAGGCCGAGCCCGACTGTATCGATAGATGGACAAATTCCAGTTCAGGCATTTCTGCAATAGACGTGGGTGAGTATGGGTAATCGAAAGGGAAGGATGTGTTTTACATACCCGGCTTCTCCAGTCCCGTGTACTTGTTGAGGACGAACTGCTCCAAGAGCTTGTCCACGGACATGTCCACAAATTGGCGTTTAAAATCGGAATGAACTTGACCCACCATATCGTGATTGTTCTGCAACATTTCCAAATATGTCGATAGAAACTCCTTCATCTGACGCAAATGCACCTCTTCGATCTCTTGGAATCGCTGAAAAGTCGCACAAATGTTAGAATCTCTAAGGTTCAAGGTTCAAGAAGGGAATCTCTCACCTTGCAGGTCTGAGTCATGCGACGCTCGAACTCGTTTTTGATGGGATTGTGTTTGTCGAGCAAGGCTCTGTAATCATCCTGCAGCTTTTTAAGCTTCGTCTCCAATTTCTCGACATCTTTATGCGAGGCATTGTCTTTGCGCAGCTTCTCCAATTCAAGGACCTTGCTGGCATAGAGATCGCGCAACTTTTGAACCGCCACTGTCGATGTTTGTATTGCCTGCACGCACTCCAGAGTCTGAGATTCCTCCTCCTTAACCGTTTTGTGCTTCTTGTGCAGCTCATCGGCATATTTGGCCACATCCTTGACCAGCTCCGATAGTTTCTGCACCATCTGCATGTGCAGCGTGGACAGCTTCTCTGCCGAGGTACGAAGTATGGTCCACACAGGCGCAAATGTGCTGTTTAGTGTCCCTGTGCTTGCTTTATGCGCCAACTTGGACATCATCTTCGAGTTCTGCTCCTCAATGCTGGACTTCTCGCGCAGAAATTCGGACAGCTCCTTGCTGGCCACCAAGCCGAATTTCATGTTATGATAAAGCACATCGAACCCATTGTTCTTATCGCCCTATTTTAAAGAATATAGAATTCGCAAAATATGATTCCAATGCCAATGTCAATAGTGAAGTCGCACGACTTACCCAAAAATAATCATTAAAATCCACCGTCATTTTGCCTTTCTTCCTTCTGATTTCTTGTGTAAAAATAAATTCAATATTCCTTCCTTCGATAGGTTGTTAGCTCGTGGTTTTATCGAAGCCTTCTTCTGCTCGTATTACTCTATAATTGACTTGAGTTTCCTAAAGCCTAGTAATGCTCATGGAGCCTAGTGCAAGTTCAACTATTTGGATCATCATCTTCAGCAAACGTGGCTTGAAATAGCCAAGGCATTTGTGGCAGCGTTCGGCGCTCGCTTCTTGGACGTTAAACTTGGTGTTTGCTGCAAAAAATAACTTTCATGAAACATCGGAGGGCAAACAAAAAATGCAATCTCACGTCCACATTGGGGATATCTTTCAACAAAAATGTCAATAAATTGGAAAACATAAAACATAAGTAGTTATGGTTGAAATAAACTGCAATAATCTAAACGACGACAATTTATCTAAATGTTTAATAAATGTTTTGAAAAGTGTTTCCACACATCAAGGGAACATTCTGACATTCTCTAGATTTTGACTTTTGAAAAATATTACACAAACAAAAGGTTTTATTCCAAACGATACATTTTTTAAAAGCAACACATTATAAAATTTTAATATAAATAGTAGTATAATTGTAGTTATATATTAATAGTTAATAAATAAATAGAAACGGTAAACTCCTTTAAATATTACAAATCAAGATTTAATTAATGCAGCACGGTTTTTAAACACAAATATAAAGATGTACATACATATATAACCAGTTAGTAAGTTCATAAAATTTTCTTTTAAACACTCTATTCCTTACTTACAATTCTGCCTAATGAGCCGTACGCAATTCAATAAAAAATTGCTGCTAAAAAGTACAAATTCATCCAAGAACAAAGAACATTTTTGTTGAACTCTCCTCAATTCATTTTTGTTTAAAGACACTGAGAAGCTGGAGCAGAACCGCAAATAATTTGCACACAAGTTTGCTGAATTGCTAAGGTTTTTCATAAAGTTTTCTTTATTTATCGAATCTTCTCTCACGGAGACTTACGATAAGTAGTCAAATCTTAATCTAATATAGTTATTTAATTAATTACAATTAAATATTTAAATTACGGCCCGTCGGAGTCGTGTCGTCGAATCTTGAGCTGGTACTTTGCTTTCACCTTGGCGATTTCATCTTTAAATCTTTCCCACATTTAAATCTTTCCGGATATTTTCACTTCGTATGTACCTGGGTGCCCCAGTGATGGTTCTCAGTATCTTCGATTGAGATCTTTCGTCATAAACATGATGTTGTTTTATTCGAAAGCAAAAACAATGCTATATCTACAGATATTTTCCTAATTACTGTTAGATTTTATATTCAAGATCCGTGTATAAAATTTAATTTGTAAGGAAATTTTCTGTGATGTTATGTGATTGTGTAAATATGGTTCGTTCATTTTAAGTATCTGTATTCTTGTTTTGGGAATATAATGATCATTATCATCATACAAGAATTTCGGGAATTCAAATTTTAAAATCGTTTTATTTGCACAAACTTTGTAAATAAGAGTTCTAGACATAAATTGTGAGTATAAGTTATTTAAGTATATGTATATGTATATTATGTATGAAGTTAATATCTTTAGACGTGACAAATAATTCGAATAAGCCTGGAGAATGAGCAGACTTCTCTTTACGTTTCTCCCCTCACTTTTGCCATTTCACTTTCGATTCGTTCGTCCAGAGCGCGCGTCAATATGGTGCAGCAATCCTTGATCGCATGATATATAATGTTCTTAATTTGCAATTTGTCCTCGTGATTCGTATGCGAATGCGAGAGACGCCGAAACTCGTGCGTGAGATGATAGCAATGTGTAATATTCTCTGGCGATACAAAGTCCTCGGCCACCTTGATGCAGTTGTGCAGATTTTGGACCTGATGCGGGGCACCAGCCGGTATGAAGACGGCATCGCCAAGACACTGGACAATGGGATAACCCTCCACGCCATACTCCTTGAATAAACGGGCGCGCAGCTTATCATCCAAATACCAGTTCTGGTCGTGGATGGGATCATGATCGGGTTCCAAGCGGAAGCCCTTTTCTAGCGTTACGCGGTTGAGCAAGTCTCTGATTTTGTCGGCATCACGTGCCGGAAAGATGTGCCACAATGCGCCTGGCAGGACATCGGGATCCTGACAACGGGCCCGTGTTATGTAGTCGCAGCCCCCAAGAGCAATGGCCTTTTGTGTGGCCGCCAACTGCGGCTTGCTGTCTTCATCCTTAGGTATGCCCACATACACCATAATATTGACCGCATCCGAGATATCCAAATGCAAGTTTGTGGTGCCCTTATCCGGATGCAAAGCAGATCCATAGGCATTATACATTTTCGGACCCAAGTCTGGGGGTACAAACATTTTGGGCAAGCAGCTGGCTATATTTAAATTCCCTGTACGCAACGTATACTCGGGCATGGGCAAACCCTTCATCAGATCTGCGAAACGTGTGGGCATAATTTCGGCGAAATCATCACCGGGCGGCCAATCCTTGAGTTTCAACAACATTGGTTTGCCATTAACGTCGAGCAATCGTTTACTTATGCACTGAAATCCTTCCCAGAAGTGTCGCATGGGCTGGTTGGGTACCAGGTTGCCATTGAGGCAATTAATCAGATCATTGGGTTTGTCGCCAAAGTCCTTACAAAATGCCTCCGGATGCCAGAGATCCAAATTAAGAGAACGTGCCACCTCAGATATCATTACAGGCTGACCGCACTTCCACACATCCTGGTAGAGCACACGATTATCGGGATGCATGGGGTCAGTGAGACGCAAGAGTTTGCCATCGCAAAGCCATTCGTGTGGCACTCCTGGAGCCAACTGGGTGGAATGTGCCAAGGTCATGGCGCGTGGCGGCAAAAAGCGACGAAGTCCCGCCAATCCTTTACGCAAGAAATTAATATGCTTGAAATTGTCGAATGCACTCGTTATTGGATCCTTGCCCAGCGTCTCCTTAGTCCACACACGTCCTGGCACGTAATCAATGCCGCGTTCTCGAGCAAACTCCAGCTTCTTGGCATGCAACTCCTCTAGACGCTGCTGCTGTCGCAATGTTTGCTCCGTGGCTAGGGAGGAGGCGCTTGTCTGCTGTTTCAGCTGCGACTCCTTAATCATGTCCTGAATGAGAGCCGTCAGCTCCGGATCATCGACCTGTTGCTTGCTCAGCAAACAACCACAAACTTGCGGCACCTGCCACAAGGTACGAACATCGTGCAACAGACGTCCCAGGACATTGAGCGAATCGCCAGCTATGATTTGGGTGAGCATCAAGGATCGTAGCTCATGCTGCTGCTTACCCGCTGCTGCCGCATCGTCATCGGTGCAGAGTAGCCAGTGGTACTCGTCACGTCCACGCTCCTTCTCCACGCGCCGCAACCGTTGGCCGTCCTTGCGATCCTTGAAGCAATCGAGGCACAACCCGAAGCCACACTTGTTGCATGTCCAGTGGTAATTGAAGAGCGTTGTATCGCACACATCGCATATCTCGCGAATGCCCTGGACAGCCTTCTTCCAGGCGATGGTATCGTCGGGATTCTCGTGCAGCTTCAAAGCTTCAGCCTCCTGTCGCCACAAATAGCAGAACTGATCACCAGCATGCAGCAAAATGTAGCGACACACTTGTATATCCATGTAGCCGGCTGTGGGAGCTGTCTTCTCATCCGGCTGCCACACGCTAAAATCCGCCGGTGTCGGCTCATTATAGGGATTGGGAAAGCCCGCAACGCGCAATTCTCCAGCTGCATTGTATTGCAAGCGTCGGAATTCATAGAATCGGCAATAAACATCATTGTTGCTGTTGCTATTATTGTGATTGCCGCTGACGGAGGTGGCAGCTTTGCTTATATGGCGACGCCGGCACTCACGACACTTCGGTATGCGTGGCACGGTCGAGGCATCTACATCCGTTGGCTGTTGCAGCTTGAAACACGGCAAATGCTGCAGAAATATGGTGCAATTCTTACGATATTCCTCATCCAGCTGCTGCTCCTCTGCTGTTAATTCGATCAAGTCCTTATCCTGCTTCTTTTCCTGCTCATTTTCCGGAGCCGTAGCCGAAGCCGGAGCTGCAGGTGTTTCCGCTGCTGCCTTTATACTTGTATCGTCAACTGCCTCAACTTCCTTGTGCTCCAGACAAACCTTCTTGTGTGCCGTATCATTAGAGATATGTATCTCAATTATTGATTTCGGCTCGACGCGTGCTGCCAATAATGCAGCTTGATTTGCGTTATTTGAATCCAACGAACGTTTACGGCTATTTTCGATGCCGACGCCTCCTGCGGTTGATGACGACGATGGCATTGCCATATCAAGTGTTGTGATGGGATGCGACATATGCTGGGCAGCACTGGCGATCGATCCAAAGAGAACAAGAGAGTGAGAGAGAGAGAGAGAAAAATGCAAAAAGATTCTTATTGGCCTGCTGTTCTTTTTTTTCTTTTTTTTTTTGCAGCCGGCTTTCTTCTGTATTTGGTAATGCGTTTTTTTTACAGCGGCGTTTGTGAGTGGTTGTTGTCGTTGTTATTATTATTGTTATTGGTTTTCAAATTGCACATTATCTCGTAACTTCACTTGTTAAACGCAGGAATAAATGCTAATTATTAATTTTTAAGAAACAGGGAATTATGTCGAAGAAGGTAATGTGGCTGACAACTTTCGTTGGCTATTGGCATGGCTCCATTAATTGAATATTAACTCTATTTAGCAAAAAATTGTTAATTTTTTGTGGAGAATTTTTATAAAAAAAAAACAAACGCACAACTACTCACTGCCTCCACATTACCTGCACAGAAAAAACCGTTAACAAAATGTACTTAAGAGTTATCTTAAATTAAATTAAACATTAAAACTAATTAAATGGTACATTCAATACACTTTGCCGTTGAAATTCCACGCAAAATTGTACTCTTTCAAAGTAGAAGTAAATGAAGTGCATCTAATGTGTATTTAGGAATGTCCCTGAATCTTAATCGGTATCTGTGTTCAATTCCAAAACACTATTTGGGTATTTGCGTTTTTTGGGATCGTTTTCTGGATATGAGAACCATTACCCATTTCGGTTCCGCACAATTCGAATTTTAAAAGGGGAACACAGACTTCTTGATAAGTCGCATGTTTAGCCACAAGTAAACTAATGGGCGTTTTACTCATAAATGAGTAATCTACAGATAAGCCGCATAATACACAAGACCCCTACATAAAAAACAAACAGAGAATCCGATAAAACAAAAAAACCAAACATGTACATATGTACAAGCACTTGTATTTCTATATGTAGATAGCATGTGTACATATCTACATATGAACATACACATTTATGCATTCTCTTTATTTAAGAAATGATTGTTTTAATTGTACACATACATATGTAGATAAGAATTTACTTAAAAGCAGATGGAAGAAATCTTAATTTTTTCATGAAGCAGTTCTACTACTCCATATATTACATTTCGATTGTTACTTTTAACCCGAACACGTTAATTACAAGCTATATTCTAGATTCTAGAATATCATATGTACATGCGGGCTGGAAATTCGTTAGCACCATTCGTTAGATCATCAGCAGCTTCAGAACCAATTTGTACCAATTTAGGTGCGGTGATTCCGAAAGTGTTGAAAGTGTATATATGTATGTACATGCATATATAGTATACATACATACATATATTGTATAGTATGTAAATGGAGAAGAGTTCAATTCGCTAAAATGATAGCGACAAGCTCGGTGCATGCTGTTAACAGAGCTGCATATACATATGTGTATGTATGTTAACATTCGAATTAACAGACAGCTGCGACAGACGCTGTTACTACTGCAGGCAGCAACAAGTGGCATTTATTTACACAATATTTTTACACACGAAGAATAATGTATATAAATGCAATATAATTGCATGTTTTGTTAATATGGGGGACAAAAACGAGAAAACAAATTCGTACTAAATTACAGACCAACGAGGATAATTGAAATTGGAGAATTAGCACGCACTACCTGACAAATTAACCTTGGCGACACTAGCCATAAACACGTACATACATATATGAATATGTACATACATACATGTGTATGTATGTACATATGTATCTTCGCATGTAACCACAGAAAAAATATTTTGGGCGTGCACCACAACAAAGTCTTATCGATGTTCCACTACACACACGCGCTTCCATAGTGGCATAAAATGGAAGTGTTAATAGGAATAAAAGAAAAAAAACGTACACGCGATGTTTATTTTTGTTTTTACACTGCACCCCATTTCTCAATGAATTCTCTTCACGTATGTACACCTCCCCAACTATTGACTTTTCATTTCCAGCTACTTTTTATTTTATATAACTTTAATAGAAGTTTAATCGATGAAAAACACCTCGTCGTGCACTTACACATGAACAGGAAAACTTTGTAGAAAGTTGAACAAAAAATTCACATATTTAACTGGCAATTTATGGGAACAACTAAATAAATCAAATCAGCGCCGCCGAAGAAAATGCACTCAAAGCAACGCTAGGCATAACACTGATGCGGTCAGTAGTAGGCGTGAGTGAGTGGACAAAATGATTACAAATTAACTAAAAATAGTTAAAGTCGTACCACATTTCATAGGCATGTATGTAGGTGTGTACATATGTTGCAAAATGTATTTGATAATACCATTATGCTCATCGCAATTAGTTAATTAATTACTGCACGAACGGTATATACATACATATGTATGAATGCATGTAGATGTGTGCGTCAATAAGCAGCAGCACGGCAACACCGTCGGTGTGTGCCCACTACTACTAAAGCAAGACGCTGCTAGGGTCGCTCTCTTTAGTCAATGAATGAATTTTCGCACTGCACCATTACATTTGATATTAAAAACAGTGCCTGCTATAATATAACAACCTTAAAAGCTCAGAACACGTACACATTCCGTTTCAGTACTGATTGAAAATTTTGAAATCAATTTAAATTCTGTACTTAACACTGCATACGCCATACACACATACATACAAAGTAGGTGGGTAGAACAAAAACGAGAAAAACTCAATTTCACCGTGTTTTACTATTGTTTTCCACTTACATTTTATTACTGTATATTGCTAGCACAGTTACACTATTCGTTTATGCTATTTGACATGTGCAAATTTTGGTATTTTATATAAAAACAGACTTTTCTTCCGCAACGCGCACAGCTCAAACATATAAGAACGCGTCGTACTTCTGATTAGTGATGTGAGAAATGCCGAAAATATCGCAAACGTGTGTTGTAAAATGTATTCGCAGTGTTGAACAATATACCCATGTTTGGCTTAAACTTTTATTCTTATATGCGTAACATTTGTAAACAAAATACTGTAGATGGTATGTATGGCATACACTTATAAATTAATAAATCAAATTAAATATTTTAATTTTTTTAATAAAAAGTAAATTGATCACGTCGATATTGTCCAATTGGACAATTTATACTGCAAAAATCATATCTATTAAATGAAACATTTATTGGAAAATTAAATCGTGTTTATATTAAACCTTACAGGACTTAGGTGGAAGTTAGGTTACTTTCGGGGAATAAATCACTAATACCTGGAATATTGGTCGAATTTCTTTTTAAAGAATCCAAAGTTGCTTCTTTTTTTCTGTTCTTTTGCTGTGCCACAAAATTGCATCGCAGAGTTTTAAGTTTCAATTTTAACGGTTCATTTGTGTAAGTAAATGTGTTTAAGTTGTATTCGTCAAACGGCGCATTTGTAATATACAAAATTAGGTCGCTCTCGTTAAAAATATCGGGCAAAATTAGACGGGCGTCCTCCTCGTACTTCTCAATTTCATCACCTAAGGCTCGCCCTATATCGGTCTTTAGAGATACCAGAACAGGCAAAGTAATGCTATAAAAAAATCATTATTAATTTGATTATATATCGCTATTATTGATCCTATCACCTGCACTCCTCACACTTCACAGCCAGCCTATGTATAACCATCTGAGCCAGGAGCTGTGCTTCACAGTTCGCATCCGTTATTTGGGGTAAAAGTAAACTGACGACTTCCTGCAATTCCGATGGACTTAATTTATCCAAATTCGTCATGCAATAAATATGAGCGACAGATATAAGAGACAGTCTTTGTCTAGGCTCGAATGTGAGTAAACTTTTTAATCTTTTCAAAAGCATTGCCAACTCTGGCAATTGTCGGGCTACCAGGCACTCGAACATATAACTGACGTTGAGCTGGTCTTTGGGTGCAAATAATGCAGTCCACAGGTGTTCTGACCAATATTGTTTACTGTTTGTTAAGCCGAGCAAAGCTCTAGCAATACGGATTTTTATTCGATGTTCCATAGACAGTTCAGAATAATCAGGCAGTGCTTCCGTCAATTGATTGTTGATGCATAATAGTTCCTCAATTATGGCGTTCACTTCCTCTTGAACTTCCATACTAATTATATATCGTAAGCATGGGACAAACGTCATTTTGTCAAAGTAGCTTTGTTCGTAGGCGGATTCAATTCTGTAAGGGAGTTTTACAAACAAACAAAAAATCACTATGAAATATTGAATTCAATTAAACTTACCGCGCTTCCCCTGTAGTGGGCAAGCTATAAATTATTCCTCGTATACGTAATGGTCTGGGAATGATGTTTTCAAACTGAAAGGTCATATTAGTCAGCCACCAATTACTTCGATCAACATTTAAAATGTTTGCCACAAGCTGTTCATACTCCTTTGTACTAAGGTGATTGTGTGCGTAAGACAAAATGCACGATATACTGTAGAAAAAGGTATAGATTATGTTTTAGGTATAAGTTAAGTGGAATATAAGATCACTCACGTGTCATAAACCTGATGTCCTCCCAGATATTTCTTCAGCAATTCAACGAGTCTGAGTAGCACGGCGTCATCTTTCAAACGCTCTGTGTGCGATTGGAGTATTTTTGTCAGACTAGCATATGTTTCTTGTGTGCCTTCATCCAATAGCTCCAGCGGCGTTAAATTTAACTCCTCAATATTGCTCCACTTCTTTATATTTAGAGTGACAAAAATATCCACACTTCTTGCTTTTACTAGAGAGATTTCCTCTTCGGTCCGACAGCTTAGCTTGTCAAGCAAGTGCATTTGCAATTCTTTCGGATCTTTGCAATTCTGCAGCAGTTCGATATTTATGTCGTACTCAGTGCGTATAAATTCTAAATACTCTTCTTTTATTTCTATTGGCAAATAATACCAATGAAAAACAATGAAAAAACGCCACCAGCCATGCTGTATTTGGGGAACACCTTTTAGTTTTTTAATTAGGCCAACAACAAAATCATGGCACAGGCCTCTATACCGAAAGTTCAGACCCACAACTTTGTCATAGTAGCGTTTATCAAACTGCTGCATTTCAATGCCAATGTGTTTGCATTTTTCAATTTTATCTGCCAAGCATTTGAATTCTAAAAACGTGTCTCCGACATTGAAAAGTGCATCGATAAAGTCCATGTAATCCTTGAACGACAAACTGTTGATAGTGGCCTAAAGCGCTGGGAAAATTATTGAATTTGTATTAAGTTTTAGATAAGTTAATGGAACTAACCGTAAAAGTTTCAAGCAAATGTTCATTGGCGCGGTCTCGCAATTCCCAATTCTTCAAACCACGCACGCATTCAGCCAATTTGATCAACTGCGCCTTATCAATGGTTGGCAATTCGTCCAATTGCTCGGGTTCCAGGCTGCGCACCCAATAGAGCAGAGCCACTGGGCGCCAATCGATCGTAACTAAGGTCTCCATGAATGCAGGCTTTTCATTGCGCATTAGAAAGCGTTTCATATCGATGGATGGCAAAAAGTAGTCCTCGAAATTGTAAAGTTCCGATTTGTTGGTGGCCATCAGGAATTCGTGTAGGACATCCATCTGAATCAGTTCGGACATAGTCATGTATTTGACTACATACTCTAAGGTCCCGCGTTTTACCAAGATGTTTTGATTATCTCTCAACAGGTTGATGAATAAAATACGTAGCCAAGTGTTAGAAATTTGGATCTTTAGTATGTGCGGAACACATTCGTGCAATGTTTCCACCACCAGCTTCGGATCTTGCTCCTCTAGATGCTTCCAAATTCTGATATATTTGCGCCAATATTGTTCATATTGATCGCGATCGGACCAACCCCAGCGTTTGAGCGTCTCTGTCAGCATCTCATCAGTCGAGTCCGCCCCAATTATGACAAAATGTAGTTTTTCCATTATGAAGTAGGCCGATATGCGATCTTGTCGTTCTGATTGCAACAGCCGTTGTAGGATGCAGTAGAGCCCATCAGAGCATACAAATTCCACGCCCAACACATGCTCGAAATCATCAAACATTTTAACAAGTATTTGAGCGATATTGGGTTGCGCCTGAAGATCTTGACAAAACGACAAAAGCTGATTCAATAGCAATTTGCCATCCTCCCCCTCATCGGCAGATATCTGTATGTATAGCTTCACACAGGCCAAGACATTTGCCACTAACTGAGGACTTTGTCTAACTCTTTCATTTCTGACCAAAAGCGAATCAATTAGTTTGCGGAAAAACGAAGCGCCAAACCTCAAATTTTGAATTTTCTTCTCCTGCAGTAATCGATAGATATGTTCCAGAGCTCGTTGCAATTCGACTTGGTCCTCGCAATGCTTTTCAATCAAGCCGTTCAACGTTTCATCCAATTCGGCACATTCAAGCCAAAGCTTTGGATTATCTAGAAGCGAATTCTCATTTTTGTGCCTTTTTTCGGAAAATGACATTTTTCTAAACCGATAAACAGAAAACTCAAAAAACTTTGCGAGGCTGCGCGACACTCAACAAACAAATGCACTTCTTATCACAAATTTCACAAGTATGAGCAATTTGCCCATTTGATTGTGAGTGTGCTCATATCGTTATCGATATTACAATCATCGATATATCGTGCACGTTACTGTTTGATTAAATACTAAAAAAAAAACTAGCTCTACTGCTTTTATGGGTATAACTTTCTTGTAAAAGGATATTTTCATGATCTTAGTTTTTTCTGCTATAAATAATTTGCAGTATTTAAACGACAATGCAAACGCGGCCGTTTTGTCTTCCAATGAAGTTTTTATTTAAGCAATTTTTTGCTTTGTTGCTTTATATATGTTATATGTTATTGATAAGGCAATTACAGAGCTGGAATATGCTGTCTGCAATATTCCCATATAAAAAGTGAGCCCCTCTCATTCATGTTTAGAGCGCTTATCTCTTCACATTGGGATATTCCCACGGCATAATCGGAAATTTTAACTCCATCCACTATTATTCCATGGTTTTTATATCTGCAATAAGCATATAGTACTTTAGCTTGTAAAATAATTTTAAATAGGTCAATAAACACACCCCAATTGCAAGACGCACTTTCTGGGAAATTTAAAACCAAGCAGGCCGGTGCTGTCGATGGAGTGTTCGTTTGATACAATCTTGTATCCCTCGGCACGTTTCTCAAGCAAATATTCCGAAAGGCCGTCTTTCTTCATCTCAATAATATTAAGAATACTTCCAATTTCCAAGCTGCATAAAAGTATAGCTTTGTTACATCTGTATTTGATTTATGCGCCGTACTTACCTTGGTTTGCTTGAAGTACAATTTTCATCAGCTTCATTGAAGAAAATAACCAACGTTTGAACCCTGAAAACTTCACAAGTACGTACTAAGCCATCCAAGCTAGAATATTGATTAGGAAATGAGGCCACAACTATTAGTTCGTTCTTGAAATTACACACGGGATATATATCGCATATATATGCTGGTTTTGTGGATATTGCGTTGAACTCATCGCGCAACATATCCAATTTCTTTCTCCAATCTCCCATGTGGGAATCTCTCAGAAAACGACCATCATATTCATCAAATGGCGCATTGGTAACATACAATAGCCAATCGACGCGGGTAAAATAGGGATTTAGTTCTGGCAGTAGTAAGCGAATTTTATTTTCAAAATCAAGTTGTGTAGCGTCAAGTCTGTGCTCTTCTTTCATCCAGAGAGCTTTTGCTTTAGATTTTAGGTCTTCACTGTAAAAGATTTTCCTTCTTGTATTGATCATAGTGTGGAAGTTTTATCTCACTTACGAGAAATGTTTAGTATTTTTCATGAGCTTATCTATAACTTCCTGTGCAAATAGACGTACTTGATAAATTGCATCTTTTGTCAGCTCTCTTAGTAGAATTATAACATCCATTAAGTCCGCAAAGCAAATACTTCTGGAGTAGTAAATATGAATAACAGAAATGAGTGATAGTTGTTGTTTAGAATCGGATGTGGCCCTCAACCGATCCCATAAGGGCTTAACATTAATCATCAGATTGCCGACAAGGCACTCGTACATATTTTTAACATTATGGAGATCATTTGGCTCGAATAATGCAGTCCACCACTGGTCTAACTGGTCCACTTTTATATTATAATTTAGGCTATTAGCTAATTTCCAAATGCTTCTAATAATTCGTATTTTTGTTCTATGTGTTTCCGAGTATTCGGTGTAGGGGGTTTTTTTTTCCGATAGCTCATTATTCATGGATAAAAGATTGTTTACGTCCGAAAATTCTCCAACATAGGCGTCTCGATCATAAATACTTCGTTCGGTTAAAATAAACGAGTCCTCAATGCTATAAATGGAAAATTGTAATAATTACGAATATTAAGAGCAAATTTGATTTAAACATTGGAGGAATAGATTATTCTTACCGGGAGCTCTTAGTGGTAGGCACACTAAAAAGAAGTTCTTCAACGGATGGCTTAATTTGTGAAATGTTGCGAAATATGTAATTACGCAAATTTGTTTGATTAAAATCCTGAATTAATTTTTTTATTTCCATTTGGTCGTTGTGGTTTTCTATGTACCAATGTACTAAATTTGCTCTAGAAAATACAGATTTATGTAAGTAATTTATGTAAGTCTCCCCAAGCTAGGAAATATTTTTAGAATTTAGTCGTATTTTACAATTGAACTAGTATAAGAAGTTTTTGTAGATCATTAAAGCATTTTGTTTTAATGCCAAAAATATAGTAAAGGCTTTAAAAGTTATCTCTAAATATATTTGACTATGTAATTATAATTAGTGTTAGTACAACATCCTTACAAGACCCTTAGATGGGCCTATATTGAGGACCCATACCCATTATTTTTTCCACACTATATGCACTCGATTATGGTATATGTATGTAAAGAGGGAAAATATTGAACTGCTTGCCACCCGCCTATAAACAAAATTTCAAATTAATTTACTCTTTTGGTGACTAAGATTTATTTTTTTTTTTTAATCAAATTATTAACAGATATGAAAATAATTGTAAATAAAAAGGTCTAACAGATATAACAATACTTTCTGAGGTAGGGTACCCTCGACTATAGCCTATACATTCAGTGTACACTTCATTAATATTAGCTCGGTGCATTCATTTTCAATTTTTTATACATGCAAGTATATGTAGTAAGTATGTTTGTGGTTTGTGGAGTGAAGAGATTTTTAATTACTTACACTGGTTGAAACATCCGGTGTGGTATGCAATTCGTTGGATAGTAACTTTTTAAGTGCTCATTAAATTTAGCCATAAAATTGTGATCACAGAAATGTGGTTGAATCATACGCATATACCTTGCTAAATTCGCAAAAGTAATTGGTCCACCCATGCTAAGAAGCTCTAAGGGCTTTAATGGCAACGCATCCAATGGTGTATTGGTTACCAATAAATCGACGGTGCTTTGTTGCACAAACAATTTTTCCTCTTCACTGACGCACCTAAGCTTGGATACCACATCCTGTTGCAACTTATGCACGTCCCCGCAGTTCCTCAGCAACAGTTTTATGTCCAGACCGTACGCGTTGCGTATGAAATTGCAACAGGTTTTATTTAATTTATTTGAACTATAAAAGTTAACACGGAAAGTGAAAAGAAAGCGCCACCATCCAAGATTCGCTACCGGTTTTTTCTCAAAGTATTTGAGAAGAGTATACACGACTGTGGGGTATTGAATTAAATCATCGTTTATGACCTCATAACAGCGTTTACTCAATTCGGGAATTTCATGGTTCTTCCTAATGCAAGTTTCTACTTTTGATGCCAAGAGATGTGTATCGTAGTACTCGTGTGCATGATAAAGATTTTCAATAAAACGTAAATACTCCTCAAGGGACAAGTTTTCAGAGACTTCCTATTTAGAAACATGGAACAAGTGTACGGTGTGCTAAGAAGTCATTCATCTAAAACAAACTTTTTTACATACATACCTCACAGATTTTGAGCAAATGTTCTCGAGTCCGCGTTCGTAAAATATCATTTTCGATGTTATATACGCATGTGGAAATTTTAAGTAGGGCTCTTGTATCTATTGTTTTAACTCTATAATTTTTCAGTTTGTCCAGCCAATAGTGCAAAGGCACGGGTTCCCAAGATAGTTCAGCCAGGGCCTCAAGAAACACAGAACACTCATTCTTGGTTAAAAATCGTTCTATTTGCACTTCTGGCAATATGTATGCTTCACGATCGTACAGTGAGGTTTTATTAGTGGCCATAAGGAACTGGTGCAGCACATTAAACTCATTTAGCTTTGCCATTGTAAGATATGAAATAATAAATTCCAGTGTGCAACGCAACACCAAAATGTTACTCTCATCTGATAACAGATTTACGAATAATTTATGGTAATCAATGCGTTCGTCCATAATGCATGGCAATATAATTTGTAAGGTACGGGGTACTTTGTCAAGGTCTTGCATCTCAAGCTTCTCCATGACATTGATATAGTCGGTGCAATGTTTTCTCCATTGTGGGTGGTCACGGTATTTACTGAGCATTATGTTACATTCAAATGGTAATAGCTTTTTCATCAAGCAGTACGCTGCCAGGCGGTCATCTTGCACATCGGACTGCAGCAATATTTGTAAAAGTTTTGGTAGATTGGAATATTTTCCAATACAACTTAAATTATAAAAATGTTCCCACAGTTGAACAACTAGTTGGCCCATTATTGGCTTATGTGAGGGTTTAAAACAACATGACCAGATATCGTGAATGTATGTATATACATGTATATGTATTTGTATATACATGGATATGCATTCTAGTATGTTAGCAAGCTCTTGTCTATTTCTTGTTGGCCCATCCACAGTGATCAAACTCTTGATTATCAAAAAAACTTTTGGACCAATACTCCACTTAATAGATGAATAGTTTTGAAGAATTCGGTAAAGGCAGTGCAGCACCTGATTTAATATCTCTTCATTTTTACGATTATCATCTATGAGCTTTTCGAAGACACAATCAAGGTCCACAATGTTGTTACCGATGTTTCTTTGTTCTTGTATATAAGTGTTTAGTTGGCGGTGTATATTGATGGGTGATTCACCGACATCCGGTGGTTTTGATAACATTTTTTTTTCCATATGGCGGATAACAATTTAAGATTATGAACTTCAGCAGAAAATTGCACAATTTGGTAAAACACTACACCTTAACGATTGCAAGCATAAGCAAAAATCGTTTATATCTATAAATTCAATCTATAAACTTCAATCTAAAAATTTTATTTTTCGGGATAGTTCTTTTCTTTACAATTGGACATTGGCCACTAAGTCTGTAAGAAAACATCGATCAATCGAGCAGCGACTGTGCTTTTAACACAATGCATCGATCATCGATATTTGCTCAAACATCGAACTTTTTTTTTGTTTTGTTGGCCGATCGCATTTTTTCTGTGGTTACCCGGTATAGTTTGGTTTTTCAAGTTTTTCGTTTGTTCATTACGTTGAGTATTTTAATTTAGCTTTTTCATTGTTAAACATTTGATTTTCATTTTGATTAGAGTATAATGCAAAAGTAAGTTATCTGTATTTTTCTTTGCTTAAAAGTATGCATAAAGCCACTCCTAATATTGCGCGTTTATATCAGTGATTTTAATTGCAAGTTACATTTACATTTGGTATAAATAATTAATATGTGAAGTGTTATGAAAGCGTTTGATTTATCTCTTAATAACCGTATTAAGTAAGTATAATATTAATCCAATCGCTTTCAACGCGGGCAAACTAATTAAAAGCTAGTATTAAGATCACTTAAGCTAATTAAAAGTAAGTATTAAGATCACTTTTGGTATTAGTTTTTAGAAAAGCCTATTTTATTAAGAAAAATAGAAATTTTATTAAACTTTGATTTTCATTATTTATTATTAAAATTTTAATTCGCTGTCTCAAATTTCAATACAAACTCATTAAAAACTAACTAATCTAGCACATAAGTACATATGTAAAACTCTTTATGTGACTAGTGCTTTAACATATAAGTAACTCCACTTGTTGCACTAGGAAGTAATCAACAATAAATAAATTAATAAAACAAACTCCACCAGCTTTTTTGCTTTTAAACATATCTGTTGGTTTTTCAACCTAATGTAAGAATTTATTTTCAATGAAAAAGTGTTTTTTGAAAATATCGATGTTTTTGATGCATGGATTTTTTATAAAAAAACATCGATTGGCATCGATGCGACTTACATCCTTAATTAAAATGTCACGCTAAAGCTATCGATAGGTCAAGAAAAATATCTAAACTATGACTGGGTTATCGATAGTTTGACAGCTCGATCAGGCAGCAGCCGCATTACTATTGGAGAGCTACCGTAATGTCGTCAACATTAATGAAATGCCTAAGTTTGGCAAACACTTTGAGGACCGCAACGCTTAGAAGTCTGCTAACAAGTCAACAAAAGCCGACGCTGGCACCATGGGGGTAACTTATTCTCAGCGCGTCATTAGGTAAAATAACCAGTTCACATGTTCGATGGTTTTATATAATACACAGTGCTGTTGTGCCCGCATTAGCGTCGCATGTGCAAGCGGTTAGTGGCATTCACACCAGCGCCGCGAGCCTTGGTCTTATGGAGTTCTTCGACGACCCCAAGGTATGGAGCGAGAACGAAGTGAAGGTGGGGCGTGCCTGGAAACCCGATGAGTTGCGTATTAAGTCAAATAAGGAGCTTCATCAGCTGTGGTACATATTGCTGAAGGAACGCAACATGTTGTTGACCATGGAGCACGAGTGCAATGATAAAATGGAAGTGTTTCCCAACCCAGAGCGAATTGATAAGGTACAAAGGAACTCAAATATAAAACGGGGCCCTCAATAAATCTTATATGCTTACAGGTAAAAATATCAATGGAAAATTTGGAAACAGTTGTGCGGGAGCGTAACAAAGCGTATCATTTGCTCGAAACGGGCGAAACAGGCGAGCGACCACAGCGACTGGTGCACAACTGCTTTGGCCTTAGATATATGTACAAATCGTGTGAGCATGTGCTACCACCCTTCATGAACATCAAATGGATTAAATCGCGTAATGTTGGTTTTGGCGGACGTGCTGTGCGAAAATTCCTATTGCAATACCGGGAGAAGTTGTACAACGAGAAGCGCAAGGCCAAGAAGTGAGTTTGCTTGGTTGCCCATTACGCCTGCAGTTTAAAAAGTTTTTTTTTCCCCCTTTCGTTTGCAGTCGCTCACGCAACGAGGTAATGATGATCCTGCGACGCAATCCAGATTTTGACTTGGAAGTGCTGCGACGACAATTCCCTCAAGTCAATATTGATAAACTGCGCAATGAGGACAAGGCTCGTGGACATTATGTGCCCAAAATAGGCGTTTAATTGGCATTGTTTTTGTTGTGAAGTTGATAGGTCATTAAATTTAACATAAACATTTCACTTAATCCTCATCAAACTTAATTTTCGTCCCCACGAACTCTGCTATTCTAGGTTTCAGCCTTTGTTTGGCTATCCAGGATGGATGCAGGTTAGCATTGCTGTCATCAGTCTCGCCAGCATTTGATTTTGTGATTGGCTTTTGTGTCCCAACTCCCCTGAATTTTTTCTCGTTTGCTCCTGATTCCTTATCAAACTTAATTTTTGTTCCCGCGAATTCGCGTATTCTAGGTTTTAGTCTTTGTTTGGCTATCCAGGATGGATGCAGCCCGGCATTGTTGTCATTAGTCTCGCCAATAGTTGGCTTTGTGATTGACTTGTGTACTTCAATTCTCCTGACTTTGTTCTCCTCATTTGTTCCTGATTCATCATCAAACTTAATTTTTGTTCCCGCGAATTCGCGTATTCTAGGTTTAAGCCTTTGTTTGGCTATCCAGGATGGATGCAGGTCACCATGGCTGTCATCAACGCCGCCATCATTTTTCCTCCCTAATGTCTCAAAAGCTGAGCCATGTAAGTCGCCAGTTCGTGGATGTTTGTAGCCATTTTGCTCTTGACGTTTTCCAAAAGCTTTGTTATTACGTCGCTGCTCGCGCAACGGCTCAGATTCATCCTCCTCCTCACTAGCGGCGTTATCTGACAGAACAACGGCAGTGGACATATAGTGCTCGCCAGTTTCGGTGATGAAAAATGGATCCACAACATGCGTCGGTCTTTCCTCCTCCGGCTCCTTTCTTTTTGATGTTGATATGTGACTGGTATTTTCATGACTTGCATAATTCTCTTCCTTGCTTGATAACTCTACATCATCAATGTTTGTTTTATTTTCCTTGGGTTGTGGTTTGAGTTGGGGTTTCTTTGTTTCCTGCTGATCCCGCTGTTTGAATTGGGATTTCTTCGTTTTCGGCAGATCTGCAATTGGCTCTTCTATTTTATTAGCATTTTCAGTTTCTTGCTGAAGCTTCCCGTCTTCCTCAGCACTGTCGACCTTATTTTGCTCCAGCCATTCTTCGCGCTTGCGTGATTGGGCTTTTTGTTCCTTGAGCTCCTTACGTTTACGACGCTTCGCCTCTGTGCGTTCCACTTTGGCACGTCGCTTGCTTGCCTCCATAATTTCCTGACGCCATGGAGCGTCTGCTTTAATGCTCAGCTTTAGTGTTGTTTGAAACGTAGTTACCACTTGTTGCATGACTTTGTTTAGTGCCAGCAGGGCCATTGAGACTTCCTCCGGGGTGGCACGTCCATTCGTTACAACTGCGCTGTGATTGCTGTTCTGTTGCAGCAACATATGGCGTACAATGTCGACGGCCTTCAGAGACTTTAGGTATGCCACGCATTCGTAGTTCTTCCGCATACGATCCTTGTGCTTCTCATTATCTGGTTGTTTTGACAGCGCATCCTTGATCTTTCGCAATCTGTGCACGAGCTTCGATATAGTTTGAACGCGTGCCTGCTGTATTTGTTTCTTGTTGGTAATAACCTGTGAGTTTTCAAATTTAATTTAAGTACATTGGAGTATTTGTTCCACTTACTAAGTTATTGAATTTCAATTTATCCAGCATTGTGAATTTTGTTTTTGCTCTCCGTATGTTGTAAAGCGTGACGTAGAGATGAGCATTCGCACTGGGTAACGGAAATCGGTAGCCGATGATTTCGATATATTGGTGTTTTGGCACACCACTAAGTAAAATGGCGACAAAACGGCAGTGCTGAAGATAAGTTACGAATTTATTGTTCTTTTTGGCCTATATCTGAATGCAATTTAAAAGCATTTAATACGCCCTGTTATTGCAAACGTAATTTTTTATAAGTCAGCTACTATTTAAAAGTTCATTGTGCTTACTTAGTCGTTTTGTGTGTGGGTGCGCCAAAGGAAAAAACAAGGAGGAGCTACATAGTCGAAATTAATACACAAAGCAACAAAGAAGGTACGGCAACTGCGCCCGGCGAGCACGACGAATTTCGAGAAAATAAACAATATTGCTTAGAATGCAGGTGCTGGATGAACAATAGTTTTGTTTATGAAATGTGCAATTGTGCTGTACTATACAAAAATTCATCAAGGGACTGGCTGCAGCCAGCTTGAGTCATTGATCTCTTTTTGCTGTATTTGTTGAGTGTGTGCGTGTGTGTCAAGTTGTGTGTGTTGCGTGTGGTGTGTGAGCGGCAATGAAAAATAAACCAAGCAGCCCAGCAGCCGCAGCCAAAGTGACTCACATTAATTTATACCTAATTATGCGTTTGATTAATTTTAATCAATTTAAATTAATAATAATTTCAACACAATTTCCTTACTACAGTTAATGTGCATTGGCAGCGACTCCAACGAAACAAGTTTGTGTAGTTAAGCATTGGCAAAAGATTCTAAACCAAGGCAGCAACAACAGTATCGACACAACGGCCCAGCGAACGTATCAACTTAAGATCCAGCTCCAGAGTCAAAATGACGGAATACAAACTTGTTGTCGTAGGTGCCGGTGGCGTTGGTAAATCGGCACTCACTATACAACTCATTCAAAATCATTTCGTCGACGAGTACGATCCCACGATCGAGGACTCATATCGAAAGCAAGTGGTTATTGGTGCGTATTCTCTGATTATGTTGTAAATAAAATTAAACTCATGACATTTTTAAATTTTATTCGTAGATGGCGAAACCTGCCTACTGGACATTTTGGATACCGCCGGTCAAGAAGAATATTCTGCTATGCGTGATCAATACATGCGGACCGGTGAGGGTTTTCTACTTGTATTCGCTGTTAACAGTGCGAAATCATTCGAAGATATTGGCACATATCGTGAACAAATCAAGCGTGTCAAGGATGCCGAGGAAGTGCCAATGGTGCTTGTGGGCAATAAATGTGATTTGACCTCGTGGAACGTACAAAACGAACAAGCAAGAGAGGTAAGCCCCTATATAGCACTCAGTGTGCACAAAGAAGAAACCTATTTCATTTATTATTCGCTCTTAGGTGGCCAAACAATATGGCATTCCATACATAGAAACATCCGCAAAAACGCGCATGGGCGTTGATGATGCATTTTACACATTGGTGCGCGAAATACGTAAGGATAAGGATAACAAAGGGCGGAAAGGACGTAAACTCAATAAGCCGAATCGTAGATTTAAATGTAATATGCTCTAAGTGGTCTCTGTCGGAATTTTATGTTTTTCAAAAATCGTTTGTCTGTGTGTGTTCAGTTTTCGGGTGCGCTAGACTTGTCATTTATCTAGTTTCATGTGGCTCTTGTAACTCCCTTTTCATTTGTTTTCTTTCATTTTGTGTTTCTGCCGCGGAAAAGAACCACACACACGTGCATTAGATGGTGCAATTTTCAGAATAACAAGAAAAGAGAGAAAAATTGTAATTAATTTATGAAACAAAAGCTTATGTCAAATACTTTTTGTGCAAGTGTGTTGTTTGAGAAAAGTATTAACTGAAAAAGAAATCTAAAAACGATAACTTAGAATATTGTCTTAACGAAAAATACTGAAATACTGTTTTAACTGCCTAAGTTCAGATGTTTTTCATCAAACATTGCGAGAGATTCCCATAGAGAACGAGAAACAAAACCCACAAAATTCTTTAGACTTTTCGCACAAAACAAAAGCATAAATAAAACCTTTGGTTTACCCTTTCATTCTGAGCCATGCTGTTAAAATATAATTTTTTGTGGTGCTTAAGTGCAAACATACATACATAATAGCCAAACAGAATGTCAATGTGTTTTTAAAGCGAACAATGTGTATTTGCTTATCAAAAGTAAATGCAAAGAAGCAGCAGCAATTATATAGTTTGCTTTAAGCTTTTTATACATACAAGTAATAATTAAATGTTTTTGTATTAGTTTTGCCATACAACACGAAAATGTAATGTTTAAACAACTACAAGTACTGTGAAACGTCGTATTTTCAAATTTTATTTAAACATATACACCATATGTATATCGCATGCATGCAACATTAAAATGTAAACAAAAATTTTGTTTTTTTTTTTGTTTGTTAATTTATAACATTCAATTTTTTCGTTTTTTCGAAGCATACACGCGCACACATTAACAATATAAAAAATATATACAATACATATGTGTAATTCATTTAGTTTTCTTTTTAAGCAACTTAAATTAAGTGTCTGTGTACGTTTAATCTGCCAATTGTTATTCGGAGATTTATTCTTTAAATTAAGCATTTTATTTAATATTGAAAACTGCAACTTTAAACAGTGGTTTTAACAGTTTAAAACTATATATTATATGGTACGAAAAAGAAACGAAGAAAACTATTCATTTAATATACGGATAAATAATCATTATTCAATGCGTTTTAATAACATTACTCCCCCACTCATCGTTTCTTGTGCAGCCCTGAATATGTGGCAACAGAGTTGCCATTCTCTCTCTTTTATACGAATTTGAGCGTTCAGTTATTGTTGCTTCTGATTGAAATAGATCGTATACTTTTCTCCAACAGCTTTTTAATAAATGTTTTGTCATTTGTATTGATTATTTAATTGAGCGGTCGATTTGAATGAAATAAAATGAACAAGCAATTCTATAATACAAATAATTTCTGCGCCAACAGTGGTTGATTTTGAATTTGTGAAGAAAGATAAAGTTGGAAATTGAAAATTGTACAATTAATAAGTACTTAAACTTCTGCAAATCAAAATCTAATGGCTAGAATATTACCAGTGTATTTTGTTTTTTTTGGTATTTCATGAACAAGTTCGAAATATAAAACAAATAACCAGTTAGCGAGTTTAGTTTATTCCATTAACTGGTTCAACGGAACTTCTTTTGAACGTTACACAACTCTGAACTGTTCGTGTAGGTGTCGCCATTTTCGCAGGCGGTATTTCGGCAGAACTGAGCAAAAGTGCGACATTAAGTAGCGTAGCTATCGATTTTTAAAGACGTGTACATTGGAAAGGTACAAGCGTTAGACAATTGTAGAGGAAGCACCCTTTAACTATTTATATTATTTGGACAACTGCACAGTAAGTTGCAAATATAATAAAGAACGGTGCGGCAGCTGCACACACGCTTGTACACACATACATATGTATATACGTATGTATGTATGTACATACACAAAGGAGCCGCGAGCCGCCATCTTGGTTCTGTCTGACGCCGAAAAAAAATTGTATTGAAATTTTGTATATTTGTTACTACAGCAATGAACATGGATGCGACTGCTGTTGAAAATCGTGAGAAAGAGCGCGATCGGCGCGGCCGAGGAGCACGTGGCTCGCGTTTTTCCGATGCCGATGGAAATGGTAACGTTGGTGGAAATGGAGGTGGTGGGGGAGGAGCGGCGCGGGACCGAAGTCGTGAACGCAGAAACTGTCGTGTTTATATCTCAAACATACCCTATGACTACCGGTGGCAAGATCTGAAGGATCTGTTCCGTCGCATTGTCGGTTCCATTGAATACGTGCAGCTGTTTCACGATGAGAGCGGAAAGGCACGCGGCTGCGGCATTGTGGAGTTCAAAGATCCGGAGAACGTGCAAAAGGCATTGGAAAAGATGAATCGGTATGAGATAAACGGACGTGAATTGGTCGTGAAGGAGGATCATGGTGAGCAGCGGGATCAATACGGACGTATTGTGCGCGATGGTGCCGGCGGAGGAGCTGGAAACGGAGGTGGTGTTCGGGATCATATGGATGACCGTGATCGCGGCTTTTCCCGCCGTGACGACGACAGAATGTGAGTATAGGATTCAATGTCAACTTACTCTTTCTAAATATGAATGCAGTGCAACAACAACGAGGAAAGGTGATTTCTATTATGAACTCTTTATCATCATAGAAGAAATGCATACGTAGGAAAAGCGCAACTATGAATGGGGCTATCTTCTTTTGTACAGTTTCTTCACGTACAGTAGAGCTGAAAATTGAACGTCGATTAGTTTTGTAACAACGTGGAAGTCCAGCTACCCTCATAAAGTTGCTGTTTTTGCCAAGTATTATATAAATATGTATTATTACATGCAATTATATAGTTATGTAATGAGGCAATTCGTCGAAGTCGAATTTAGATCGAAACTTCACTGAAAGCGTGTGTTTCTAAAATGCAAAGCTTAATCATTTTTATCGGATAGTAATATCATTAGGAAGACTTGTATGTATTAAGGAAAGGTTTGTAGATTATAGTACTTTGAAAACTTCGGCACTTCACTGTATTTTTTGTACGAATTGTGAAAGTGCGATAATTCATGATCCTTGTCAGTCGTTTGAAAAAAGAATAACCTTAAGTATATCCTGCGAAACCCTGTTTAGGAAGAATTATTGAAATTCCCATCTACGTGTTCTCGAGTTAGCGTAACTAATATGTATTGCATTGGAAATACGTGCTGATATATATATATATATAAATATATATGTTTATAAATTGTTTTCACGTAGGGTTTTTTATTGATCACAAGGCTCTTTTCACAGAGCAGACAATAATGTTCGAAAATTCTATAATTTAAGCATGTTCGGAATTTTTGTTTCCTTATCCATATGCTTCTAATAATAATCGTAATCGATATCTCCTTTGTGAAATGCTGAATGAAGTAGTTAGGTGTTCGAATTTAAACCAAAGTAGCCGATGCTTGCAAAATCAGCGGAATTAGTAATCACTTTGTCAGTATTCAGATTTTCTTCAAGCCGGCAATGTGTCTTTACGTTGTGTAAACAAATAATTGGTTTTTAATTTTATTTTGAAAATCTTGCAAATTTGTTCTTAAATGATATAAATCGGTTCCTTAAAGGATTTTAACGTTGGTCATAGTCTAAACTCGTTGTATTTACTTTGGTTTCGAATTTGAAAAGTTGTGAGAACATATTTTCGCAGTGTGAGATTATTATAAACGAATATTAGAAGTAATAGTCAACCAGGAAGATGGGTGCAGAAGGCATTGCCCGTAGACCTAAAAGGTCCCGCAAGTAAGCGTTTAGCGGGTACTTTCGTACTTTTCCAAGTTGTGACCATTTTGCGATGCTATTTTGTTTTATCTTGTTTTTTGTTTTTTCTCTCTGGATCTCTGGCTTCTTTTTCTAGATCTGGGCGTAATAATTTTAACATGATGTCAAATGATTATAATAATTCGTCGAATTACAATTTGTATGGGCTTTCTGCTTCGTTTTTGGAGAGTCTTGGCATAAGTGGACCTTTGCATAATAAGGTTTTTGTTGCTAATGTGAGTATACTTATTCCAATAACTTAATGTATGTATTGAACAAACCAAATTATAAAATCAACTAAATGTTATGTATATGCTGAATTGGTTGGACAACTATGGGCGTGTGTAAGTGCGTGTGTTCTCTTTGCTAACGCGTATGCGTTTTTTGATTTGGTCATGGGGCTCTGTTTCGTATTTATAACCCATTATAATTACCGGTAGATGATCTTGTTTCAGCATTTTCAAAAGTTACGCCTACAATCTTTTCCCTTTCCATTGTTGAGTTATTCTTAAAGATCCAAATTTCTGTAGAACAAGCCATCAATGAACTTGTATTCTAAATCGTGCTCAAAATGAAAAGCCGCCTTTTTGAAATTTCAAGTTATACCGAGTTGTTTGGTTGGAATACAACTTTTGTTTTTATTGTGCTTCTGAAGAATGGCCAAGGAACGGATACAACTTGGTTAGTCAGTGTTTCATAATGTAGAGGGTGGGAATGGTTATAAATATGAAACAATAGGAACTGCTTGAGATCTTACGGAAACCTGCGTTTGCTCAAATAAGTCTGAGGCAGCCACAACCGATAATGATAAGATGATGATGCATTTGGCCAACATTGTTGAGAGTGTTTAGATTTATCATGACCGATCTTTTTTTTGTTAATTTATTTTGGCTTACAAATTTCCTTGTTGTCCATAGCGACGGAATTGCTTGATTACTCTTGTCCTTACATCCAGCTTGGGCATCTCTGAAACAAATTAGTTCCCCACACACAGCTTTCAGACCAATTTTTTGCTTAAATTTTAAAACATTGATTGTGTTTTCTGTAATTTTTGGACCATATAGCTGGACTATAAAGTGGATAGCAAGAAGCTCAAGCAAGTCTTTAAGCTGGCAGGAAAGGTGCAGAGTGTGGATCTTTCACTCGATAAGGAGGGCAACAGTCGCGGGTTTGCTGTTGTCGAATATGATCATCCTGTAGAGGCAGTGCAGGCAATTTCCATGTTGGATCGGCAAATGCTCTACGATAGGCGCATGACTGTGCGCTTAGATCGCATACCGGACAAAAGTGAAGGTCTGAAACTGCCCGAAGGATTGGGTGGTGTGGGAATCGGTTTGGGACCCAATGGTGAACCACTCAAGGATGTGGCACACAATCTGCCCAATGGCGGAAATCCATCCCAAATCGGAGGCAACAACTCGGGCTCTCAGCTCTCAAATGCTGGTGCCAACCAAGTCAATGCTGCAGCCAATGCCAACAATTTGCTTGGCAGCCTGGGTGGTGTAATGTTTGGCAACAATGCGTCTGTGCAGCCTTCGCCAGTTACTCCAGTGCAGAAGCCTTTGGTGGGCAACAACGCGGGTGGCGGCGGTGGCATCAATTTGAGCAATCTTAATCCGAGCAACCTGGCCGCTGTTGTGGGAAATTTGGGCAATCTTGGCGCAGCCCTTTCGAACCCACTATTGACCTCATCGCTAAATACACTCGGCTTGAATTTGGGCAATGCTGGTGGCGGAAATCAGGACGATACGCTGTCGGCAAGCAATGCTGGATTGTCGAACAACTACAGCAGCAGTGGCAACAACTATAGTTCTGGCGGCTACGGCACGGGAGGTGGCAGTGGCGTGTCTGGTGGCAACGTCGGCTACAATGCTTACAACAGCAGCGGCGGCTCAGGAGGCGGCAACAATAATGGTGGCAATCAGCTTGATGGAAATGACTACAAAACCAGTATGGATATGTTTGGCGGTGGCTCGCTCGGCACTGGAAATGTCGCTGGCGGAGGTGTGGCTGGCGGTTCGGCTGGTGCACGTAAATCGGACACGCTTATCATCAAAAATGTAAGAAAAAGAAACCTAATTGCAATTTAAAGTCGTGTACCGAATTCCAAATAGTCCCAACGAAAAACGAGCCTTTCTAATCGGAAGTGGAATAGGAAATCAGTACAGACATTTATATTTTATATTGAAATTATATTGACTAATTTGAATATTTTTGTAGCTTCCACTAAGCTGCACATGGCAGACATTGCGCGACAAATTCCGTGATGTGGGCGACGTCAAATTTGCCGAGATACGCGGCAACGATGTGGGCGTGGTGCGTTTCTTTAAGGAGCGCGATGCCGAATTGGGCATAGGTAATCAGAAATTGCAATTGTTCCACAAGTTCTGTCATTTAACACTTGTTTCTCATTTCGTCAGCTCTGATGGATGGCTCTCGCTTAGACGGTCGCACCATAAAAGTCACATACTTTTAGATTTATGTATAGTCTTAAATATTGTAACCAACCACCCCCCAATAATTTATAAGTTTGACAAAGGTCTGCCACACACAGCTTCTTCTCTTCATCACAATTCTAAAGGCAACTGGCCGGAGACATTTAAAGCTATTTCAATTCATTTTTTATCGAAGCAGATGGAGTCAAATCGTATATATATTTTGATGAGCGACTGCTATTACAACAACAAGAAGAAAACACCAATGCCAACGATAACCGCAACACTTGCATCATTTTATATATCATTAATAATATTGTATAACAGAAGAAAACAAATAATTGACGTTCCAAGAAACATGAGACGCAATTCATGTAGTTTGTAAGCGATCCATCATTCTGAATAAATAAATAAAAACAATATGTAGAGCTGAATAAGTAACACACGTGTAATTTTGTAGGGCATCTTAATGTACTGCGCAGACATGTGAATACTCTGTAAAACATGTCGATTGAAACGGATGGGAATTCTATACTAAGCTTTACTCACAAAGTGATTCAATTTATGTTGAACATAATATTCAATATTTACTTGAATTTCGTAAACTGAAACTAAATCCAATTCAAACGCATTCCTTCATTCTTTGTTAAAACTTTTTGCGGATTATTATTATTATTATATTCTCGTTTTTCACTTAAGATTAATATAGCAATGCATGCTTATATTGATGACTTATATATTTTTTTTAAAGTGCAATATCCCAGAACAAGAGGCGTTTAATTGATTACCGGGTTCTGCTTCAATTAACTTTGTCACGATACAAATTGTATTTAGGATGTGCGTCCAAATTCATGATTATAGAAAAGAAAAATATATATTTAAGAAAAAGAATGGTGGCCGCCTATTTTGTGGGCATAGCCTCTACTGTAGCCTTGAAGCGTTCCAAGCGTGCGCGTGCCTTCTCTGCATAGATGCTGCCTGCGGAGTTCGTGCTGGTGCCTGTCTTGGAATCGGTGGAGATGACAACACCAAAGCGCTCCTTGCGCTTCTGCAATCGCTCATCTACTGCAGTTTTGGGAGTCTTATCGGGCACCACACAGCCAAAGCGTTCGGCTCTACGCTTTAATGCCTCTCTCTGCTGTTCCTCAGTCTCCTTGTTGCCTTTGTTAGCCACAATGGATGCACTCGAGGATTTATTAACGTTCGTAGAAGCTGCAGTAGCACCGCTTGTGATTCCAAATTTCTTAGCGCGCAGCTCCAAACGTTCCTGAGCAGTTAGCTCGGTTAGTTTCTTTTCGCTTGAATTGGTACTATCCGTATCCTTGGCAACGCTAGCCCCCGCCACTATAGGTTTCCGTATCAATTTACTCTCGCTTGCGGGCGCCGCGTTTTCCTTTGCCACTGACGGCGTCGTTGATGCCGCAGTGCCACCTGCCTCAGACAATGGCTGAGAATTATTGCGCTTCAGGACGATCTTCTTAGCGGGCTGCGCAGATGACCCGCCAGTGCTGGTTATTGGTGTCTCAGCTGTGGTACTGGATTCTGCCGCTGACGTTACAGCAATGCTGCTGCCGTCCTTTGCTGTGGTGGGCAGCAATGATTCGGAAACCGTTGTTGGTGTGCTGACGGGGCTTTTTAGAAGCAGATCGTCGTGATCATCCTCCAGCAACTTGTGCTCATCCTCATCAGTAAGCAGGACGTCGTCGTCTTCGAGCGCCGTGATAGCGCTATCCTCGAGCGAAATATCCCCCTCAAGCAAAGCAGTTTGCAAACGCTCCTGCAACTCATTTTTGTTGCCGTGCATCGGAAGACCACGAAGTTTCAGCTCCCGCTTCAGATCTGCAACCTAATTTGCGATTTGAAGTTCATTTGTAATCCACATAATTGGCAGTACACTTACTTTCATTTTGGTTACGTCGCTCTCAGGCATTATATTTGATCTTTTTTTTGCTGCAAACGACGAAGAAAACGTGTAAATCTATCTATTATTTTTTACACAAACAGTACACAAAATGCAGGGCTGGCAGCAATAGAGAAAAGCGAGAGGTGCTGCCAACTTGGTTGTCAATTTCCATAGGATGTATCGATAAATTCGATTGTGGCGGCATTGCGTTGTCTTTTAAAATTGTTGTGAATTTACAAATTTTTTAGTATTTTTTAATATTTTTTTCAGCAGATTATATTCGTTAATTTATTTCATAATTTTGTATATTTGTTTGTTTGTTTTTCCCGCTTAATTGTTGTGCACACAAATATAGATGCGTATACATATATATTTATATTCATTCATATAGAAAAGAGATAAGATATAATTATGAGTGCTGTTTAAAAATAGCACCAGCGCTCTTTGGGTGTGTGTGTGCGTGTGATTGTGATAGAGTCGAGAGCCCCGCCGAACGACCGGAAACGGAAAAGGCATGCAATATTATCGTAACGTTTCGTATTGCTTGCTGCCTGTCTGGGAGGGAGGAGACAGCGGTGCCTGTCTGGCATCTGCCAGCAAATTTCGTCCCTCATACTCTTTCTTTTATAGTATTTCGAAACTGACAAATTGATTTAATGCTATTAAAAGCGAGAGTGCTGAGTTGCTACTGTTGGGTTGGCCCCCTCGGTTTCTAATCTATTTTCATGTGTGACCTTGAAAGGGCAGGAACTGGTGCATATGGCCAGTAGGTATAGTGTGTCTTGAGTGCACTTAGGAAATTGCACTTGGTTTTCTTCAATCCACATCCACCTGCCACGCTCTCTCTCTCTCTCTCTGTCTCTTCCTGTCGAACTCTTTTGTGGCACACATGTGGCTCATAAGGCGCATAAGTGGCGTCAACGTACATATGTGTGTATGGGAGAGTATGTACACTGAGAGAAACGAATGCGGTAAAATTATTTAATACTTAGCTATGCGAAACAATTACTTAGCTGATATTTCGACAAGAAAGTTTTGGGGTGAATTAAGTAAATAGTTGCTTATATTTGAGATTTCAGGACATGGAACAAAACAATATAATATATGCTATTAATCCGATTTTGACAAATAAAGAAAGTCGCTAAATTTGGCTTAAAATTTCTAAATTTCTAAATTCGAAAAAGCTCACTGGCTTAAATCAAGCAAATTTTGCTAAGCAAGCAACTTGCTTAAATAAATAAAAATTAACTGTATTGCACCAAGTCCTCTTCTCTCAGTGTATAAAATACAAGTACATACATGTATTGTATTTGAATGCATCCGTATATAGTATATAAATATATATCCGCTTTTCTTATCGCCTGCATTTTCTTTTTAGTGCCGCCTTTGCCGCAATCAAGCACCAATTTCCACTTCCCTGTGTCATGGAGTCAACTGCCCACCCACTCATTGACCTTCCACGTTTACTAATTTACAGCATAATTAACCCTTTACACATGTATGCCCAAAAACGACCCCACAATGCAGTTGAAAGCTTCGAGTGTAATTATAAGTAATGCGTGACGTGGAAGTGGCATGTAATTGAATTAATTAACTCTTCTTACTTCATAAGCTTTACGCATAACTTTGTATCTTGCTGTGGGCAGCCGAAACAGGGAGCGTTTAATTCAGTCATAGAACACTTTGTAAGCCCAAGCGAGTTTTGATTAATTGTCAGTTGTCGCATGAGCTGAAAATGCCCCATTTTCATGAGTATGTATTTCGCTTGACGTGACGCAATCGGCTTCTAAATTTCTGTCAGGAATAAGCAGTATATACTATATAGTTCGTAAAAGTACTTGTAGCTATGGGTGCTTTTCACTGGGGAGTTAAAATACCTGCGTAATTAAATTTTTAGTGGACTCTGTCTCTCTATTGATAAACAAATTGTACGTAATATAATAATCCGAAGACAAAAATCAGATCCAAGCAAGCAGTTGTACCCATTTTTATACCCCACACTGAAGATGTAAGGGCATATGGGTTTTTCCTGTACAAGTTCCAGAAGGAAGAACACAATTTATATTTATACGTTCTTTATGGCTTCTCTAGGCTTTATGTTGCCATATAAATGATATGTTTTCAAAATTAGTTTTTAAATTAAAAACTTGTGTAATAATAATAATAAGAACAAAAATTCTAGAAGGAAGACTAAAATTTATATTTATACGATCTTTTTGGCTTCTTGCCATACAAAAGATATGTTTTTCAAATTAGTTTTTAGATTAAAAAAAACATCGAAATATAAGAACAAAAATTTATATTGCGAATGTGTTAGCCATATCTCCAGGTCTTGCCTCAAATCTGGGTTGCAAAACCCTTTCCCATGCAGGATTAAATAGTATTTTAACAGTAGGGTATAAACATAGCTCATGTCAGTGGAGTAATAATGTTTTGTTGTAAAGCACTAAGTTTTAAACTCATTTGAAGTACATATTATTATAGCAATTATTATTACAACGACCTACAGTTTTTAAGAAATATATACAATATATATTATAATAAGTATTTAAAACATACACTTTTTTTAGAATGATTTATTTGTATAACTTTAAGTGGAAATTAAAGTGCTTTGTTAATTTAGAATAAATTTGTAATTTGTTGAATTTGAACCGCTAACCTTGTATGTAAGAAATATTTTGGCTTTTCTATGAAATCTTCGCAGTAAAGTTCTCACAATAAATTGAAAAATAAAGGTGAACAATAATTGATTATTATAATTATGAAAGCATAAAAGACAAAAGTTTGAACAAATTTCCACGACCCTTATGGCATTTTGCACACGGAGTCAATAGACAAATCTAGCTGTGAAAATCCATAATAAAGATTTAAGGCAACTGTTGTTCTTTTTTTAAAATAAAATTAATCTATTATACAAGTATGAAACCCACTGTATAATTAGGCAGTTTTTAAAAAAAGTTCAAGCTGAAGTTTGCACATTTTTGAATAAAATATTTAAACTGCTTTCTCATGACTGAAAATTAAGCAATTACATATTCGTATGTTGTTAGGCGGGGAATATAATTTTTATACCCTGTACCCGTAGGGTAAAAAGGGTAAATGTAACAGGCAGAAGGTAGCACCTCCAACCTTGTAAAGTATATATATTCTGAATCAGCATGACGAGGGAAATCGATCTAGACATGTCCGTCCGTCTGTCCGTCCGTCTGTCTGGATGAACGCCTGGGTTTCGGAAACGGCTGAGCGCACATTAACCAAACTTGGTATGTGGACGCTCCTAGTCCCTAGGCTACACGAGTTTATTTTCTTTTTTTGCTTTTCCTCCTCCTCTCCCCGCTACAGAATTTCGCCAATCAATCAAGAAGTTCACGGTCGGGGTTCCACGACTGTTTTTTGATTTAACGGGCTCGAACTGATATTACTTTTATGTTAATCGTTTTGTTATGAGCTTTTGCTATTCTTTATTAGATATATTCTACCTAAGTATCTAAAAACGTATTTATTTATCTTTAAAATAAATTGCGATGATGACTTTTTCCGATTTGTAGATGCAAAAAAGTGTTACTACTTTGAAAGCGTTAAGCTGATATGCGTTTGGCTTGTAATGCCCATGTGTTGAGTAAACAAATACCCGCTACTTATCAGCGTCTGCACTGATAAAGTAGCCACTCAAGAGCGCCCACGCTCTCGCACACAGATACGGTTTGTTTGGTGTTGCTTTTTTTTTGGTTTTTTGCTATCCAAGAGATACATTTGTACACGATTTGAGAGCGAGGCGCTGACGTAGTTGGCAGCGGCAGCGGCAGCGCGCAATGACGACGAGGGCAACATTTTTGAGTTGGCCTGCTCGGAGTCGTGAGTTGCGTGACGACTTTCCGAGCGATCGGTTGTGTGCGCTTGTCCAGAGGATTATTCCAGAGAATTCATAGAGCGTTCGCATAGAGGGTTCGCATTGCCCGTTATCCGAATTCGATTCGATTTGATCATCGCAGACGTGTCGTTCGATTGTTTTGATTGTGTTTTTAGACCGCGCGAACGTCGAAATCAAAACGTTAACGCCTGTGCCCATAAAGTATCTAGAAGTACGTGTTTGCCAAAAGCAATATATAGCAACATATAGTATGTGTGTGTGTATAAGTGTGTATAAGTTTAATAGAAAATTAGCCAGTTTGCGCAAAAGTGTGCAAACGATTGTGGCTACTGAAAACAGCAAAAGCAACAACAACAGCAATAACAAAAGCAACAACACCAACAACAGCAACAACACAAATACGTTAAAAGTCAATATTGTGTATATAAATCATTGTGACCTTGTATGTTGTACCTGTGTATGGGTGGGTGTGTGTGTGTGTGTGTGTTGATTTTAGCAACTTGGTTATGGAATATCATTCGCATATTTCTGTGCCACCTACTCTATAGAAAGTTGGAGCATCTGCGGCGATTATCTAGTTAACTGATTTGGGAGAAAAACAACCTTAAACATCCAGAAACCTTTATCATCATCTGAGTCATTTGTATGGCACTCACGTCAGTTACACACACACACACACACGTACACTCGTTGTTGGAATGTCAAGCAGTTATGTAGCTCTTGACTACACTTAACAACAAAACCACAAATTATTTTAAACCTGTCTCTCAGTCTGTATACTAAAAAATCTTTTTTTTAAAAACTTTATTCTTTACTATTATTAATTTATATGGTAGTATTGGATTTTTTTAAAAATCATGAATGCCAAATGCTAGTGGCAGGCAGAAGAGGGCGTGGCATTTCCTATTTTATACAGACACGATAGCTTTTGAACCAAACTTAAAATGTAGACTTTTCCTATCCACACTCAGAGCAAGTTTATTGTAATTGTATTGTCTCAATATTTTGTATAGCTGCCATAGCATGAGTGCACAAATAAAACTTAGTAAGATCATGTTTTTGTTACAGAATTAGGTAATTTATGAATTATGAAGTTTGATCAAAATCTCAGTAGCTCAGAGCAAATTTATTGCAAATCATAGATAGATGGACTCAATATTTTGTATAGCGGCGTTTTGCTTAGTGCCTCATGATATTCTCAAGTTTGATCAAAATCGGTTCACTATATCATGGGATCGATTGGCACAACAAAGTTGATTTTAGTTGAAAGACCGTAGCGGAGAAAAAGGTGTGCACAGGGTATGCAAGGGTAGGGCTGGCATATCTAGTATAATATTTTGCTCGTTTCGCTGATAATAATTATCAACAAATTTATTATACCAAGAGTAATACGTTATCGAATATTTGATCACTTGGAAATATATTCACTTATCTAAAAAGTCGGCATTTATACATTGTCAACATAGATGAGACCATTTATAAGTTGTAAAAAACTCCACAAAAGTTAAAAGTGAACATTTCCAATCAAATTTATAAGCAGAAGTTGATGAAAAAAAGGTTTCTAGTTGACTAGACCTTTTTTGTTAAATTGTTTTAATTTGGTTCTAAGAGGATTATTTCCTTTCTTTTAAGTGGAATTATGCCTCATTAAGGAGTTTACAACTTGATGTTGTTAATATTAATTTTATTAATTGTATTCATTTTTTCAATTTCTTCTATTTTGTCAAAGAGAAAAGTTTACTTAAGAACTTAATAAAAATTGTTGGTTTTAACAAAGCACAATTTTTATATTAAAACAAAATTTAACTAGTTTTAACAAAATATAAATTTAATTTTTATTAATTGATCTTTATCCAGTGTCCGAGATTATTAAAATATCTTAATATTCTTGCTAAAATAACATCACTTAATGAGATTTTATTTTTTTTTATAAATAATTTTTAAATTATAATTGAAACTCACGCTGAACAGTGTTATTGTTTTACAGCGTATGTCACGCTCTTTACACACTTCTCTCTCGCTGTCTCGCACTCTCTTCCTCTTTGCCTTTCTCGCCACTTCTCAATTTCGATCTCATTATGGGCCAGCCAGTTAAGGTGCGTTACCATTTTTAGTGAACAACAATTATATGGCTACTGAGCCTTTAATGGCCAGCTGTTTATACTTATGAGTATAGAATTTTGTATTTATAATTATATTTTGGCAGCACACACTCACAGGAAACATTCAAAGGTACGTGCCGCCCCCATCTCCGATCCCGCTCCACAAGCTCCATTGAAAAATAGGAAAAACGTGGCGGAAAAAAACTAGCCAGACGATAAACGCCATAAAACTACAAATCAATTTTGTGCGACCTATGGCACAATAAATATTGCATTAACCTCACTTAATTAAGCTAATTGGGAACGCGTGCCGCACAAAGCGACTCGTTCCTAGCCCCCTCCTCCACTTCTTTGCAGATTTCAATAGAGCCAACCAACAACTATTTAGCAGAGTGTCAAAAGTATTACATACGTTATACTATATAGTATCAGCATATGCCTACACATTTGGCCAGTTATCCAGGTCTCTGCCTTTAGTTATCGCTCTTTCTAGTGGGTATGTACCCGCCCGTATGTATAACGGTTGTCTTATCTAATCGCTTTAATAAATACATATAAAACCGTATGCGGCAAACCATAAAAAACGAACGACAAATTTTACTTTTTTTTTTTTGCAAACTGCACAGATCCCTCCTCGTTTCGTTGCTATAAACCTATATATATGTACATATACATGGAAGCCTATATAGAAGCACATCTATGAGCCGACTACCTTTATCTCCAAATAGAAGTGTGGGTGAGCGTTATGTACTCGCGAATATGGTCCAACTGAGGCGGTTTATATTTCATCAGTTCTTCAAAATTGCAATTTATTTCGCAATACTCCAAAGTTCACAACTCTTGAGATCACTTTATCTTCCAGTTGATTGAAAAGATTATATATAAATTGTAGGATGTAAAAACTCCCTTCTATAGCAGAGAAAATGTAATAAAGAGGCTTGGAATGCTAAGTATATTAAAAGCTGAAAGTAAAGGCATTATTATCTCGCTTGCTAAGTAATACAGCTTATCTAACGATCAGTCTAGTATCAAAAGGCCTTCAAAAGAACCCCTAGAGATCCAATACTAAATGCTTGCGAAAGTAATTGTTTGAAAAACCCATTATTTCGCAAGTTGAATCGAAATCATCCTTAAAATTTGCGAAATGATTTTTTCTTTTCTATAGCAGAGAAAATGTAATAAATAGGCTGAAAAGCTCAAAGTTAAGGCATTATTTGAAGAAACCTATCTCGCTTGCTAAGTAATAAAGCTGGCCTAATGATCAGTCTAGTATTAAAAGGCCTTCAAAAGAATCCCTAGAGATCCAAAACTCCAAACCCCATTATTTCGCAAGTTAAATCGAAATCATCCGTAAAAGTTGCGAAAATCACATTTCACAAGCGATCCATTTAAAGATTTCGATTTTCCCTTAGTATTGCTAACCAATTGGGGGTCTTTCATTCAAAGTGTCCGTTTAGTATTACTTTCCATATACACCTCATGATGCTGCGGTTTTTTATTGCCGTATTACGACAGATATATTATAATTGAAACCACACAATAGTTCAGAAGGCACATTCCGCGTATTTCTATAGTAAAGGTACATATATAGTAACGATTGCTATAATTGGTGCATAAATCACAATGGTGACGCTTCATTGCAAATGTGATGCATATATATACTTAATTTATATATAAATATTGTAATAAACTCTGATATATATAGGTTTAATAGCGACTTCAATAGCGGCATGGTGCATGCGTTTTCCATTATATTTGAACCACTGATAAGGCACGAATGAGTTGGACTAAGTGGCAGCTGCCTTTCCACAATTCAGAATTGACACTTGTCTGTGCTATATGGGTACTACATGGGTATACCATGTATATAGAAGTGATTTTAATACAATCCACACAAAGGAATGAAACGAAGCGACGACCTCTTCAGCTTTTGCCTTCCATTGAAGTTGGGTGTGAAGAAAGTGTTTTAAATAATTCGAATGCAATAAATTATGACAACAAATTATGTGAAAATAAACACGAGCAGTCAATGCTCTGTGAAATCAGTCTATATATTCTTTATAGTGTGTGTGTGTGTGTGTGTGTGTGTGTGTGTGTGTGTGGCAAAGAATGCGCCGCTGTGGCAAGTGTTCCAAGAAGCCAATGCCGTAATTTGATATGAAAAGTTTACAAGAGGCCAACCAAGCCAGACGCAAAGTGGCAGATAACAAAGCTTCATTATATACTGCAGTGTACACACGATATACTATGCACGAGTATATATATTTTCATTTTTTATGAGAGTGTAATAATGCCTTATTAAACACTGTCCAACAATCACTTTGAACTTGTTCGAGGCCAACAAGCTCAGCATTGTCGAGACATCTGATCCCGAATTTCCGCCATTTTTGCAATTTTGAAGGTTATTGCAATACAATATAACTATGGAGTAATGTTCAGCCGCTCCAAAAACTTCCAACATTATTTGGGCATTTCGGCAATGAAGCCAAGCTGCTAATTATCAAAGATCGAAGAAGAAGGAAGATAGACGGATTTCGAACATATCTGTTATGTTGTAATAATAAATACAGCACTATTTTTTGGTACATTACTATTTTTAGTACATTACTATTTTTTAGTACATTACTATTTTTTAGTACATTACTATTTTTTAATACATTACTATTTTTTGTAGACCACTACTTTTTAGTAGATCACTATTTTAATTCAAGTTTTTCGGCTTTACTTAATCTGCTAGGATAATTGAAGATGTATCTACTAAATATCTGAGATCATTATAACTTAATCACAAAACAACTTGAATACAAATAAATAAAAATAAAAAATTGATGAAGGTATTTAGGTTTGTTGTCCCCACAATGATCCGTTTAACATTTTGGATGCCGTGACTTCTTAAACAAATAATCCAAAAGGCACCTAAAATTCAACCTACCAAAAAAAAAAAAAAAACAAAAAAAAAATTGCGCATCCCTGGTTCGTTAAATCGGTCCCTTTGGCCTGTCTTCAAAAAATGAAAATATTACTGAGGGAATTTCTGACTGGAAAGGTTCAAGATTACGGTACTGTTTACCATTTCTAAGGTTTCATCTGCAGAGTCCTTGATTGTAAA